CGAATTACCGCTCTCGTCTTATGTAAACTAAATAAACGTATTATTTATTGAATGAAATATATCCAATTGAATTACTTGAAAATATTTTTCTATTATTTATATTTTAAGATAAATATGGATATATAATTAACTTTTATTTAATAATTGCAGAATAATACAGAAAGATGTATAGAATAGTATAGAAGATTGAGAGATTTTATCAAGTATAATACGATATGCGCGCGATTCAAAAACTTACAGGATGTCGCTACGTTCGGCGACCTTTCTTTGACTTTGGTGAACGAATCAGTCATTATTCAAGACACTTAACAGCATTCGAAGGAACCGTTGTGTATTATTTCTATCTAATACCATCTAAAAGTGATCTAAATTTGAAGATAACTGATAGTGAAAGTGGAAAAAAAGGCTTAACTATTACAAAAATGGCATTAAACAAACTCAGCATAGATAAAGTGGATCTCACAGACAAAAGGGTTCTTATGCGGTATATATTACAATCTCATTATATTTTTATGATTACATATATGAATAGTATGTTAAATTACATAAATCTACTCGCTCACATAAAATATATGATATATATATTCTTAGATTATAGATTTTTTTTTTCTAAGAGGTTAAAAAAATGACAGATGACTGATAGTATGTATGATAGATAACCTCCGATTCTGTTTATTTAACTCGAATTATTTAATGTATTTATTTACTACATACATACATTTATTACAGACATTAATATAACATTAATATTAATGTATATAGAATAAAAATCATCTTATTATTCAATATTTTATAGAGTAGATTTCAACGTACCACTTAAAGAAGGAAAAATAACAAACAATCAAAGAATCGTAGCTGCTTTAGATTCGATTAAGTATGCACTTGATAAGAAAGCAAAATCGATTGTTTTGATGTCCCATTTGGGGCGACCAGATGGTAAAAAGGATGAGAAATATACATTAAAACCTGTTGCGGATGAATTAAAAACACTTCTGGGAAAAGACGTACAATTTTTGAATGACTGTGTGGGTCCTGATGTAGAAGCAGCTTGCGCTAACCCTGCACCTGGAACAATTATTTTGTTAGAAAATTTAAGATTCTATATTGAAGAAGAAGGAAAAGGAGTTGGTTCTGATGGAAATAAAGTATATATTTAATGATTTTTCAATGGTGAAGATATAATATTTTAATTTTTTTATTCATTATATTTAGATGATCTTTATTCGTAGGTTAAAGCTGACAAAGATAGCGTTACAAAGTTTAGGGCATCTTTAAGAAAATTAGGAGATGTTTATATTAATGATGCTTTTGGAACTGCCCATCGTGCTCATAGTTCAATGATGGGAGATGGATTTGATATTAGAGCTAGCGGTTTCCTTCTCAAGAAAGAATTAGAATACTTTGCGAAAGCTTTAGATAATCCGGAACGTCCATTCTTAGCTATTTTAGGTGGAGCAAAAATTGCGGATAAAATCCAATTAATTAATAACCTCCTAGACAAAGTTAATGAAATGATTATAGGCGGAGGAATGGCTTATACATTTTTAAAAATTTCTAAGAATATGAAAGTAAGAATTATTTAATATAACATCTTTTTTGATAAAATTTAATGAATTAATATTAAATGGATTATTTATATTGCTCATAGATTGGTAATTCTCTGTTTGATGAAGAGGGTTCAAAAATTGTAAATGATTTATTGGAAAAAGCAAAAAAAAATAATGTTCAAATTCACTTGCCAGTGGACTTTGTAACAGCAGATAAATTCGCAGAAAATGCTGCTGTAGGTGAAGCTACAGTAGAAGGTGGTATACCTGATGGCTGGATGGGTTTGGATGTTGGACTAAAGTCTAGAGAGTTATTTGCAGGCTAGTAGATTTAATTATTACAATCTGTAAGAATGTATAATTATAATAAATCCTAAATATGTATTATTTATTTTGTAGAACCAATTAAAAGGGCAAAAGTAATAGTATGGAATGGACCAGCTGGAGTGTTTGAATTTGAAAATTTCAATAAAGGCACAAAAAGTTTAATGGATAATGTTGTAGAAGCTACTGGTCGTGGTACGATTACTATTATAGGTGGCGGTGACACTGCAACTTGTGCTGCTAAATGGAAAACTGAAGATAAAGTGAGTCATGTGAGCACAGGTGGTGGTGCAAGTTTAGAACTACTCGAAGGAAAAGTTTTGCCTGGTGTAGCTGCACTCTCTCCATCTTAAAGTATAATTGCCAAAAAAAAACACGAACATATATATATATATAACAATATATATATATATTTTTTAGTTCCAGTTAAAAGTACATATTGCGTAATAAAGTATGTAATATTAAACAAATAGAATTACATCTTATATAATGTAAATTTAAATATTTTCGAGTTTATCGATAAAATGGGTATATTCATTTATATAGAAAAATCTACAACGTAATCGTATTTACATAATACAACAATCTTGTGGAGTTTCTACTCCAGGAGGTAATGTTTGAATAATAGGATTACCCTCAGAGTCAAACTGAAAAAGAGCTGGATGTTCTCCAATAAGTTCTTCAGGAGGATGGCCATAAGTTTGCATATCTTGCATAAGAGACAATATTACTTCGAAACGTCTTCTTTTAGCTTCGTCTGTATCAGTATCCTGCTCTTTTTCTAATTCATTACAAATCTTAAATAGTATACATTTCAAAATTAATTATCACTTTTTCTTTCTAATGTTATATATTTTTAATTATAAAAGAAACAAACCTTTTGCATTAGTTCTAATTGTTTAGTATATCTTTGTAAATCAGCCGAAGGCAATGTTGCTTTTTTTTGTTCCAACCATTCAGGATATTTATCTACTAGTTCTTTTAATGATGGATATAATATTTCTTTAGATAAAAGGGATTGCATCATGCCCTGCATAAATGGTAATATATCACCTGCGCCTTCTTCTAAATTCATTTTCCCAAACATATAGGCAAGATCTGGTTGACACTGAAGTATCGTTAACTTTAATATTTCATGTCATTGAATAGTTATAATCATTTTTTAAGGAGTTTTTGTTACCTGCAAATTTTCAGCTGTAACAGATAAATCTTTTAAAGCTTGTGTAATAGATGATTGGAAATCAGCACTGATAGGCTCACTATCTGCGGTTTCTCCACCAGCATTGGCATTAACAACCATCTGAGTCATTTTCTGAAATGAAGCTCCTAATTCTGCTTCTGATGCTATTTAAAGAATCAAAAAATAATACTTTTTTCAGAATATGTATACATATATTTATATAGTTACCATTTTGGATTAAATTATCTGAAAACTCATTAGAAACTTGATTAATAAAATCTATCCACAAATTATCAGCATCTTTAGATGCTGTGTCTTCTGTCTTATTCGATAATACAGATTTGGATGCCGTATCAACACCATCATCATCTTTCACTTCTAACGTTTTATTAAAATCCTCCAAAGCACCTAAAAAATATAAATAAATATTTTATGTCAAATTAAATAGATTGATAGATAGATATTTAATTATTTACAGCCTGTTAGCTTATTACAGCTCATAAGTAAACTTGGGTTGACAAATTATATCAAGTAACACTTTATGTACATTAATAGACACACTAATTCTGTTTTTATGTTTACTCCTAAACTTAGGTTTTTATTAGTTACAGCACTCTTCATATTGTTATATCATCTTAACAAGTAACACATATATTTTAATGTATATTAATAACTAATGCTTCTCTATGATGTCAAATGATTTCGACTTAAATTTAACATAAATATTTATTAATATATTAGATTAATTATTTAATTTATTATTAATTATTTATTTTTTTTTATTACTTTTTACAAATGCTATTGAAAAATAATAAATATGTAAATGTTATATAATCATACAAAGAAATATATATATTCGATTAAATGTTTATATAAAAAATTATTTTAATTATTTAATTTTACTTTTTAAATCTCTTACATGTATATAATGATATTTTTTTAAATATTATATAAAAGTTAAAAATATCATAGGTGACATTTCATGAATATGACTGTCTAAAGGTTAGCACACCGAATGTTAAATGACATATATATTTATGATTAAAATAAAAAGATTTACTTACTGTCTAATAAATCATAGAACTCCGAATCTTCTACTTGTTCTTCTGATTTTTTGTCGTCAGACATTATTTTGTTTGTAATCAAACGTAATACTTAAATTTTATGTGATTTAAAAAGAACCTATGTGTATACCAACTTAGTCATGTATACCGCCAGTAGAGGGAAGGGGGTACCCTTTCCATACGGCAGTTTCCATTTTTGTCAATCATCCTTATTTCTTTATATATAATTATTATTATTCGATAATAAAAAATACAAATGGATAAGAAAGGAAAATGATCTATTAAAAATAAATAATTTTAAATTTAGATTCTATTCTTTAACGTTAAATATCTGTTACGTATAATTATTATAAAATAACCAATTTAATGCACGTGTGTGTGTGAAGGAGAAAGCATTTTTTCTTAAAATTAAATCATTTTCAATTTCATAATTTACAATCTAATCATACGATGAAAAAACTGCAGCCATTGGCTTATTACTTGTTTTAAAGATTTCATTGGTTTTTCACTTTTTTGCTGTAACGTATAAACATTATTAAACATATTGATATTTTTGTAAATAATAGAATCGCAGGGAAATTTTGGTTGCTTGGAGAGGGAACTTTTTCCAGAGGACATATGTATTTGCTTGACTGCAGGATATATATATATTATACATCACTGCGCATTTAATTATGCTAACGACGCATGTTCATATATATATATATATATATAAAAGCGGCATTATTCGAGATGACTCAAGAATAAATTAGCACAATTTGACGTTAAAAATAAATATTTAAAAAATATAGTTGTGAAACCCATACACGCGTCATCTTAAATGTAAGTAAAAGAATGTGAATAAAAAAAGTTATGGCAGAAATGTATAGGATATTTAATAGTTTATCATTTTTACTTATATTTAATAAATTAGAATAAAACAAATTAAAGCATTCAAACGGTATCACTCTAGGGACATTGTTATTGTTATCCTTGTTATTAAATTGCTTTTTACAATCATAATTTGAAATAATACAATTAGAAATATATTATATTTATCTTTCTTCAATAATATCACTGTCGGAAAATATTTTGTCTAATAATTGATTACACATATCTATTTCTTCTTTATCTTCTGATGTTAATTCTTTTAAACATTGTTCAAGTATTAATTTCAAACATAGTTTTGGTTTGCGACATTCTCGTAATGCTGGTAAAAAGGTATTATTTGTTAAACCGGTAAGAATATTTAATAATTGTTCTCTGAAAAATATAATAATTATTATATTTACACAAAAACTTATTTTAAACACAACTATATTAGTTTAACTAAAAATGTATCAAATATATGTATTCATATATTTGAGTACAAATATATTCTGAATGTATATTTTTGTCATTATATTTATTACAATTATCTATTACCTTATTTCTGGAGAAATATCATTTGATCCAAGTAATCCAGTTGTTTGTTCAATTAATCCCATATTAACTAAAGTAATTTTTAAATTATCTGAATTATCTTTGTTACAAAGTGATGAGAGTAAAAAGGCAGATTTAATCTGTAACTTTTTCACCGAACTTTGCATAGCTCTTAAAAGAACAGAATAACCATCGTTTTTGTCCATGTATTGTAAAGACATTGGTTGTCCTCTTACTATACCTATATAACATAAATATTAATAATATTTATTACTAATGAATTAAAATATATATAATTATTAAATAAATTCTGTGTACATACATGATATAGCATATAAAGATTTGATTCTTGCAGCTTCTGAAGGATCCTTATCTACCATTTCTAATAATATTGGAAATAATCCGCATTCTAAAATTCTTTGTTGACAAAATGGATTATTTTGTGTCAACTCTGCAATTATATCTGCTGTTCTCCACCTGATGCTACTGTGAGAAGAATTAAGACACGGGCCAAATATTGAAAAGCCACCAATTTTGTAAAAATCATTGGCAACGTCAATATTATCAACAAAATCTGCAATTCGCTCAAGAGCTGCATCATATTCAGAGGAGTTACCATCAGGCCGGAGATCCGCAACATTTGATAATATTTTAATAGCTTTCTGTAATTCTTCTATAACATTTACAGTTAATGAAGATAAAGCTTCACTTAAGAACTTTTTCTTCTGTAAAACATAAATAAAATATCACAATAACTAATATCTACAATATAGTAATCTATAACTATTCAATTAAATTCATACTTCTTCATCCAGAGGTTGAAATTGAGGCTCGTATGTCGCACCTCCTGCTTGTGATGCTTCAACAGCAAATCGCAGAAGACCTTGAAGATCATTAGGTTGTTTTGGTTGTTCCTGCACTGGCTGTGCTGGATCATTTGAAGTACGTGGCCCTTCTATAGACAAGGGCCTCGCATTACTGCTAGGATGGCTATCTCCACTTATTTTTTCTGAATTTGAAGTAGGTCTAAAATAAAGACACATTAATTGCCATATGTAATGACATTTATAGTTATTTATGGATAGCATATAAATGTACTCAATCCAAATTATTAGTAATCAAATTTTTAGAGTTAAATAAAATATATATATAAACATACCTATTCATTTTCGTATTAGTTTTTCTTGTATATGAAGCACCCATGAACTGAAAATCTACACTAATTTCTCAACTATATAATAATAGAAGTACATCACGTATAAATATAAAATGATAGATATCCGTTTTCCTGCTATTTCGCACAACGAAAAGACTTAATAACCGAATAATATATACGTTCGTACAAAAGGAATTCGTTTAATGGTATGTAAGCAAAATTACCAAACATTCTCGAAAAATCTACAATTAATTTACTCCATGATCTATAACTTTCTATCAGTTTCTACTTAAATATTAAATCTTAACAGCAAGTTTATTCAACTCAGCTGTACAAGTAAATCAAAATTTTACTATCAGATGTCTCTATAAATGCATTTAAGAGATAGGCTCCGAAAGTATAAATTTACGTACATATTAATATGCTTTGAAATATTTCCAAACTGTTACGTGTTCTTCATTCTGTTCACCATCTTTCACTCGAAGCGTGTGTGACTTCAGCGACAGATATGGACAAAATATGAACTAAAAGCGCAATAGGAAAATAGCAATATCCTCACCATGTGCCTATAGCATTGGTTACAAACTTATGTCTGATTATGACTCTTTCACGTTAATAGGGATTATAATACAAGTAATCTTTGTATAACATGGCCCTTTCATAACAATTCCTTCTTAAACAATCACTCCTTATCCTCTTCGTTGTAAGGATTTATGGAATAGATGTCTGATTACGTCAATATGGGCGCATCATGTAATAAACCATACTTATTGTTCAAGATGCACACCATGGAGACTACACAAGTAGTACAAACTCAACGTATTAATTGCCAAAATCTGTCCACGCAAATCGTATATTTAAGTTTTCTTTTTTCACCACTAGTATCGCTAATGTTCCTTTTGTACTGCTCTGAATATAGTAACGTATCGATTATTACAATTACTATCTACTCATTTTTTTACGATTACTAAATAATTATTTATTTAATTTCAATTATTTATACTTAAACAACCTAAATGATTACAGTTATAGTTTCGTATTATTATTTCTATTTCAAACTGCCGTCTTTTTCCTTTTCATTTTGGTACAAATAGAACACTGGCGCCTCTTACTTATATATCCTATTTGTATACATGAAACTCGTACTCCTTGTATATTCTCCATGGTGCACATGCTCATAGTTAAATTAGATTTGCTTTTATTTCACTACTAATAAATTTTTAATGTGTTCATTAAATAGTAGTTGATATTAGTTTTCTATAATATTTTGGAAAGATTCAAATGATATAACGATTCGTTGATTGATTCATATTTTTATTTTGATCAAAATGCACAAAGAAAATAGTTTTATTGTGCACTGGCAGTTGCAGGAGCTGCAGTAGTTGCTTGAGCTTGCTCCTCTCGAAGACGATCTTTTTTGAGTTGACCCATAAAGGATACCTTGTCTGCAGCTGTTTGGAAACGACCATGTCCAAACTTCGAACTTGTATCGATGAATTTCAGATTAATCTTTTCCAAAGCAGACCGTTTCGTGTGTACCAATAAAGACTAAAATAATAATTAATTTTAGTTATGATACAGTTAAAAATAAAAATTTCTTATCATTATAGCATATTAATCAGTCCTATCATTAAATATCATATATTTGTCAACAATAATTCGGCTCAAGATATCTCATCATATTAAATTACATTCACTTAGATATGCATATAAACAATATATAGGTCTTACCTTACGAAGCGTAATGACACGTTTCTTTGGTCCCATACAACAACCTTTGATCATAATGAAGTCATTATTAACTTCACCATAATGTGGGAAACCACCCATTGGAGTAATAGTTTTTTCAGTAAGATCATACTCTGTCGAGGCATTATTTTTAATAATCTGTAATAAAATATGTATTTAGTAATCACATAATTAACAATTATACATATATTTGTAAATAAAGATTCTTATTTTTTATTTAAAAAAATTTGTTGCTTTCATAGGAGACCTAAAATACAACAATGATACCCTAGGTACTATGACGAGAAATCATTACTGTCGCCCATCTTTAATAATACGCAAACACACTCCTATTAAAAAGAAATGCTATTGCGGGGAAATGGGCAATATAAATTAAAATGTGGTTTCTTTAACAAGAAGGAAGAAACATTACCTTGCCATCCTTCGTGTGTATGCCTTGACCAATACGATAAATCTTTTTATTCATTTCTGTGCGATGATGATATCCTTTTTGTCCTGCACGTGCAACAGTAAATGAAACACGACTTGGATGCCATGCACCAATGCAAGCAACTTTCCTCAAACCTTTATGAGTTTTGCGTGGCAATTTCTTAGTATGCCAACGAGATGTAACACCTATTAATGAAAAATATATTAATTAACTTTAAGACAATAAACATATGTAAAAATACAGATCTAATATGCATGTTTAAAATAAAATCATGATTAAAATAAAGGACGTCAGAAGGAAGGCAGCAAACATGAGGTATCTTCAGTTTATCAGATAATGACACATCATGCTTTATCATCATAGTCCAAATTATAATTAATAATGAAATGATTTAATATAATTTTTAAATGTGGTCATTCAAAAATATATGTATGTATAAATATTCGGATAACATACCTTTATATCCTTTTCCTTTAGTAACTCCAATAACATCAATCATTTCATCTGGTGCAAATACATTACTAATAGGTACAGGTTTTTCCAGGTGTTCACGAGCCCATTGAACTTTTTGATCAATAGTTCCTCCATTCAGTTGAATCTCCATAATATGAGCTTTCTTCTGACGTTGTCTCAACAATTTCATCTATTTAAGTAGAACGTTTTGTTTAAGATCCTGATATAATTTTTATATATTTCTTAACCACTTGCGGTGCAAAGAAATTCTCGGTTGCGCGTGCCAGAACGTCATTTATCTTTCTGTAACAATCGCCAAACGACGTGCGTAACACGTCGCTGGCGTTCCGGTAACAAAAGCATGTTGACGTGCGTGGCACGTCTTTCCACCGCAAGTGGTTAATAAATTTTTAATATCTATGAGAACATTACCTGCGTATGAGCAATAATGCGTACGACCTTACAATACTTGATAATTTTTTTTAAATCTTTCTCTATAGATTTACGACCAAGATCATCCTGCCATTTTTTAGAGGCTTTAGTAAAAGCCTTCTTCTTACTCTTGTACCTGCACAAAAGTAATCAAAATTCCTTTCTATGTTTCAATGTATGCATCCACAATTGGATCTGTAACGTGCCAATCTCTTCAAAATGAGCGGAGATTGAACACATTTCTCGGATAAGCCGATGAAAATAAGTAATTATAGAACTCAGTGGCTATATCCAAAATATAACTCTCATCTAACGAGCGGAGAGCTAATTTAAAGATAAATTTAATTCAAATGTCTTAAAATGTGTATATATTAATAAAATTGTAAATCATATACTCTTACCAATTCTTGTAGAAGCGTCTACGACAATCTTCAGAAAGATGTTCTGCCCATACTGTTGTAAGTGCACGAAGACCATGTGGGGTTTCAATGTACCCAACAACGCCAACTACAATCATTGGTGGTGTTTCAAGAATTGTAACTGCTTCTACAATTTCTTTTTTATTCACCTCTAGAGGAAAAAGTATAAGTATAAGAATTTATATGCATAATAATATATTAAGGTATATCATATTTAATAAAGATATTTCTCTCTAATAATATTTAAAAAGAAATCTGTGCCAAACATGGTTTGTCTCAATGGTCATTGCCCAATGGACTCCAAAGAGTTTATGGAATATGCCGTGCTCCCGTATACCACTACAAATGTAGAGAACAGAATTGATTTTCGACACTGCAGGAATATACTGCACAAGATCAAGCAGCTTTCGCCCCGCTACCAAATCGACTGATACATTTCTGTATCTATCAGATATTGGAAAGTGTCGATAAAAAAATATATATATAAAAAAAAAAATACAAATTACTAAAGTTAATTAAAGTAGCGATAAAGAAATAGAAAAAGCGAAAATGACTTTAAAAAATGAAAGAAAGTTATACGACTTTGAATTAATAATAGAATAAAAATATATATCTAGCTTATGCAAAAACTTACTTGACCCAGGCCTATCAGCTTCGCGTACAACATGCGTCATACCAGCTTTGTATCCAATAAAAGCCGTTAAGTGAACAGGTTTGTTCGGATCATCTTTAGGGAAAGCCTTAACTTTTCCGCGATGCCGCTGGGATCTTTTTTTAGGATAGAATCCCATAGACCCATGGCGAGGGGCACTGAACTTCCTGTGCGACTATAAAACCCGATCAAATATTAGATACGTAATAGATTGAATTTCATTATTTATTTTTATAATAAAAAATCAGACCGCCCTAGAATAATTTCGTCATGGTTATTCAGATATAAACCATAAACATTAATTTCTAAATCATCATATGAAATTATAAAGTTCTTGAAACATGTGCTCATGGCGTAGAAAGCAGTGTGCAAGATGAAATATTAATGTTCAATACGATATTTAATCTTATTAGAATTAATAATATACGCCAACTATGAATAAAGCACTTTGAAATAATGTATCGGAATTTATTTTAATATACTTATGAGGATGCAACAAATATAAGTAGATTCGAATTTAGTTTCAACTGTTTCTATACTCACCATGGCGAAACGAACGATCCAAATGGAAGTGATACCATAGCAAGTTCACTTATATACTCGAAAGAAAGCAAAATGTCCCTAGAAAAAATTTGGATATTTATCGGGTAACACTGATTAATAAAATTATACTCAATGAATATTGACCAATCAGATACTTGCTATATAGCATCATATTCCGAATTATTTTTGTTAATTATTAACTTCTATATTTTTATAATTTATCCAATGAGACAAAACATTAGACAAATTTTGTTAACGATGCTGGGCTTTTATATCACGTAGATGTATTTCGAATTATAAAATAAGTGAACGTATACATAAATATGTATTGTATAATTGCAAAATTAAGCGGGATTTATGATTGCTAAAAAATGTGACATTAAAGGCTTATATAAAGTATTATTTTATAATAAATCATATTGAAAAAAATATTTTAATGTTTTTAATAAATTAGTCATACAAAAATTTAATAGCCTCATTAATAAGCTATTAATCAAAATATTTCTTGATTCAAATTTTTGTAATACACTTCCGTACTATTACGTTTGTTCGCATAATAGAAATGTTAATAAGATATGACTTTGCGTTTATTTTATACACATAAAATTAAAAAGAAACAAATACATATATTTACTTTTTCATTCAAATAATCAATTTGCACAGGAACTGTGTAACGGAATGTTTATTTTCACATAATATTAATATAATAAAGAATTAAGAGTGAGAAATTAAAGTTCGGAACAATTAATACGTATAGTTGTTATTATTCTATAATGTTACGTTTAATAGAACGTTTAAAAATTTCCGTTAAATTTGCACCTACGTGTAAACTAATTTTAAATCGTGCATCTTCACAAAATTTGTTTAATAATTCATTTTTATATACTAATGTTAATTGCAATGTATATGTTAAAGAACAATTAAAAGAAATTTTTAAATTAAAAGATGCTAAAATAAGTAAATGGATAATGGAGGTTAATATTCTATAATAAAAATTGGAGTAATATTGTAAAATAAATGATATAATTAGTAAATATTTTCATTACAGAATAAGGTTCGAAACCTATGCTACACGTATATGGAAAGTAAAAAAGAACAAAAACAATATATTTTGCAAGTATTAGTTGAAAATTATGCAACTGAACATGATAGTGTACTTGAAAATGCAAAAAAACTTCTTTGTACGGCAGTATGTATATTTAAAAAATTTACAATTATTCATAAATTTATAATTTAATTATAGATATCATACAAAATTATATATCATTTTTGTTATAGTTGAACAACGAAAGACAAATGATCATTCATGAAAGAAATCTACAAAGTACTCTTATACCACAATATCAATGGTTATTTATTATCATGGGTCGTCTTAAACATGGTGTGAAATTTTTAGTTGATCTAAGAACAGACATTTTAGTAAGTATTAAATAATAAATAGTTTTATAATATAATAGTAACATAAAGATTTGATTAGGAATTGATATCAGAAACAAATGACAGTGACAAAAATTTTTTGATGCAACAACTAAATCTTACACTCCAAGATTTATTATTGTTATGGTTTTCAGTAGGGTTTTTGCATTTAGAACGAATAACATGGGAGAGCTCTTGTGATATATTGCAAAAGGTATATATATAAATACACGAGTAATATAATTTATGTATTATAATTTTATATATAATATTTATTTTTAATTATAAGGTTTCAGATTATGAAGCGATACATCCAATAAGAAATTGGGTAGATTTAAAACGAAGAGTTGGACCATATAGAAGATGTTACATATTTATGCACCCATCTATGCCAAGAGAACCTCTTGTTGTATTACACACAGCATTGTGCGATACTATACCAAGTAAATTTTTAATTTTATTGTCTGTTATATATGCATTATACTTTTAATTATCATTATTATAAATAAATAAGTATATATATTTATAGATAGCGTAAAAGGAATTGAAGAAGCTGAAAAAAGAATCCTGGGAAGAATAGAAACAGAAGTATCATATTTAGAAGAAGATAAATCAAAAATAACAGCAGCAATATTTTATTCAATAGCATCCACACAAAAAGGATTACAAGTAAAAATAAAAAAGATTTTTAATAATATAATTATTTAAAAAATCCTTTTTATTATTATTATTCTTATTATTTATTTTTAAATGTAAAAGATGCAGGAAAAAATATTACTATAGATTTAAAATGTTCTAGGGTATTGAATTAGGTAACTACCTAATTAAAGAGGTAGCTAATCAAGTGGTTACAGAATTTCCAATGATACATGAATTATCTAGTTTATCTCCTATTCCTAACTTTAGAATATGGTTATTAGAAAAAATGAAACAAGGTAGAATGATATTTTTTGAAATATACATACACACATTCATATGTAAATACATAAATATCCGTTTTTTTTTTAGATATTTCTTTCATATTTACATTAGAAGAGCAAGAATCTATAAAAAATATTTTTCAAACAGATGATATATTGTCAATGTTAAAAAAAGTTTTTAATAACTCATTATGGACATCTGACGAGCAATTATCAAATTTACTTAAAAAACCATTACTTCGGGCATGTGCATGGTACCTATATAAAGAAAAACGTCGTAGTTATGCTTTAAATAATGTTGGTATGTATTCTGTTACACATGATTGTTTTGCATTGATTTTAATTGTTATTTTACCATAGCAAATTTTCACTTGCGTAATGGAGCTATCATGTGGAGAATAAATTGGATGGCTGATTCTTCGCCACGAGGTATTGCAAATAGTTGTGGCATAATGGTAAATTACAGGTAATCTTTTAGTAAATTATTTTTTTTCTTCGTCATAAGAAAGTATAAAATTATATTTTTATTTTTATTAAATTGATTTCTTAATATAAAAATAATATTGATATAATTTTTTTAATTTTTAGATATTATTTGAACGAATGTGAAAATAACAGTCGAAATTATATTGAAAATTATTTCATAAATGCTTCAGAGAGTGTAATCAACCTTATATCATAAACAATAAAAAAAAAACAAGTGAGAAAGTCACTTGATGATGTTATCTGGACAATAAAATAGTAACATATTAACACGCTAAGTGTCACGACGATTCCTAGGGATTGACACTAGACTTATCGTTCATGCAATGCCAGTCGGTAACGACCGAAGCTTGAATTATGTTTTAACTATTTAAGTATCTAGGGACTTTAGAAAAATCGGTCGACGAATGTCAATTTGCACAACCACGTATCAATTGCACATTGAGTTTTAGTAATGTAATATTTTTTATGGTTTATTCATGTATCAAACATATCGAGCGTGTTGTGTTGTACTTAACGTATTAAACAAGTCGTTTGAATAATGGTGTATAATATTGTTAATAGGATCGGAATTCTTAACAAAAATTTTATTACTCTCTCTCTCTTCAAATTTTATATTTTTATTAAAGATTATTAAATTTGTTCATTTATACAATAGCTGATTCCTCTCCAGCTTAAAGACAGCATAACTTTCTGCAGACAGATCTAAAAAAAAATAATAAATATATTCTTTTTATTTTTTTAATTATTATTCTTGCTCTAAACTATTATTATTTTATTTACATTCTAGAAAGCAAAATGTATATACACACTTCAACTTTTATTAATAACTTCTATAAAAAATAATGCAAATTTATTTCATACCTGTAGTCAAGGCTGGGTTTGATGAAAGTTTGTGGGAAGATGAGGTCTACTTTCTAGTTTTGTATAATCCAGATGGAATTCCTTAGCTACCTTCCTCCAGTTTTGCGCATCAAAATAATAGTAAGTACCACGTTCATATGTCGATGTTTTTTCTACAAGTCCTAACCCAGGTGCTTGCGTTATCCACACTTTCTCCTCCATGTGATATCTCCATTCCCTGCTGTACCTTAATAATACCAAATAAAAATATATTTGCATAGTGTTTTTTCAATATATTCGAATCATTTGATACGATACTTTTGCTTTACTTACAATTCTGCCGCAGCTGCCAGTTGCAAGACATCCCCAACATTTGTATAAAACATATAAAATAGTAGATCATCTTTGTACCGATTTAGTTTAACTGGTGCTAACTTATCCCTAAAAAATGCATTATATATCATTAAAATAAAAAGGCAAATAATTTGGTTTTAATTTAGTATTAAAAGTATAATCGAAGTATCTCTATGTGATTGTGTGTATATTCACGCGTGCGCACATGTATTTATAAAAGATAAAAAATTGCATTAATTAAAGCTATTACATTCCAAATCATATAAAATATATCTAATACTATAGCAATTAAAATACTACCTTATTGCTGAATTAATAAGATATTCTGGTGGTACATGAAAGTCAATATCCTGTGGTCTACACGGTGTTTCTGCCCAAGGACCACCAAAATTTTGATACAAATTTTCAGGAGAATTAAGATTCAATCCTAATGCTGTAAGATCTTGTCCTAACGCCAAAGATACTAAATTTGGATCCGTTTCTGCTGCTCTGATAAAAGTTAAGAGACCAACCATTCCAAATTGATCCTTTACCATACTCGCAGGTATATTTGTCACCTTTCCTATAAACATAAAAATTTTTATAGAATTATTAAAAAAAAAAAAATTTATTAATATTCCATATTAAATGTATATCAAAATAATCATGTGTTACATACAATAAGAAATAATATAATAAAACAAAATAAAAAAAATTTAATTTAAAAAAAAATAAAATAAATAATTAATTTTAAAAATTCATAAGCTAACAATGATAAATTCACTTTACATCGAGATTCTTTGTTTACCATCTGGAGATGTTTGAATGCCTCTTTTAGACGACTGAGATTTCTCAGATCCAGGTGCTCTATTTGCTTGCAATACATCCTGGCCAATTTCTGGGCCTAGACCAACGGATATACTTTTATCTCCAGAAACACTTCCACCTGGTGATGGACCTTCTCTGTTTTGTGTGCCTGGTAAAGCAGGAAAATCTTCTGAACTCATAGTAAATTCACTCGACTCTGATGTTGGTTGCTTTACCATTCCAACTGTAATATATAATAATATGTTATTTTTATATAGAAATCATTTAATATATAGATCATATGACAATATTCAAAATTTATATTTTAAAACTATTGGTAATATATAAAAAAAAAACATGTCTATGTATATACGAAATCATTATTCATATTAATTCTTATAACAGAAGAGTCATTCCTAATTTATCTTATGACCACTAACCATACGGTTGTTTTCCAGGCATGGGACTAGGCTGAGGCATGGAATCACCCTGGCCTCTATTTGTCAAGGATGGAAATTCCGAAAGGTCTAATAGAGGGGGTGTACTTGTATCTCCACCTCCTCCACTCCCAAATACAGAATGGAAATTATTAATCGCACCTTGAGATCCGTAGTTGCGACTTGGAGGTATACCAAAACTGCCCATACTACCCATTGGATTTGAGGTTCTGTAAAATATTACTCATATATCATCTGCATATTGAAAACGTATATTTGGAAATATTTTCACTTTTGATGGACCACAAATTTACAAGTTGAAATCAAATGAATAGTACAGGATATATCCTTTTTGTCTTTTCTATGTGTTCTTTGATCAAAGTATTTATTTGTATTATCAGTCAAAGAACGCTATGAAATACTTTTTGTACAAACAGAAATCGTGATATGTTACCAAAAAATAAATCAATTATAATAGCAATATAACAATTAATTCATCTAAGCATATTATTTTTAATATAATCCTTTAGCGAACTAACCCAAGAGCAGGCATTGTACGTCTATCTGTGAAAGCCCTTTGTCCAAACAGCCCTCTGCTACTCATAGGAGAGAGCTGTTGTTGTTGGGATTGATGACTGGTCTGCGTGCCTCCTGATCCTGATGCACCAGGATAAACGTTGGTAACCACTACCACAGAGTTCGCTGTACTTGAAGTACTCGCAGATGAGCCTGAGAACATGCCCGATGTGGGCGTGACATGACCTGCAAGGGTCGACGAATTTAAGCCCCCCCCACCACCCGCGCGCGAAGTAAGGCTTGTGTTCGCAATACTGCGTGGAGGCTGCTCAAAATTCAGGTTGGCCATAGCCCAGTGGCTCCAATATATAATACCTGCCAGGGCACACCAACACACTTTTGTTTTATGTCAATTACCACTACCACTTTGTTTGTATACCGTGACACACAAGTTGTGCAATTGCATGGGATCCATGTAGATCCATGACAATATCTCGTTGTAATAACCTGTAATAATGAAGTAAATACTACAACATGTTAATTATAAGCTGTTTACTATAGTGTAAGATGAAAACCAGAAATTATATTAATATGCGCTAACTTAAAACATAAAGATTGAAGTATTGAAAGGTTTATTGATGGATATTATTTTTCTCATTCAATGATCTGTATTTATTCAGTATGTAACGCATATAACGAGAATTGCTAACATAATATTTTAACTAATATAAAATATATTATTTTGAAAATATTGTAAATCTTCAACGTATTTACAGGAACAAGAATTTGAATATTTTGATAAATATTCTAAAATTATTCGTTTTAATAGTATCAAGTCAAGATTTCGTTTATAAGCACAAAGAAGTAAGCAGGTTATAATTCATACAATGTGAAAATATGAGAATAATGAAAAAGACTTTGAGAATGTTACCTGTTATACTTAATTTGATTGTATGTCACTGAGGGCAGAATACAATCAAATTCATAATAAACAAAGTAGATGAACGTGAGGAAAAAAAAAACACAAAAACTTCGATGTTGACTTGGAATGAATATGATATGAAGATATTATTTTAGTCAGTTTTTTTCACAAAAAATTGACTTTTATATGGACGGGACCAGAAAATTCACGACTTTGTACACATCACAGCACTCTTTAGTAATAGATTACTGTTTTGTCAATTAGTTTCACAGCTTAAACAACACTAGATACACGAATTTCTGCCATATTAACAATTTCTACAAACGTGTTCAAATCAGCAAATAATGTTTATTTTGTTAAAATTTATGTGAGAGACGAGTAAGTTTCAAGTATATTAACTTTAACTGAATAATAACAAATTAATTGCATATTTTAATTTCGATTATTAGCTCTCCATATGCTGATCTGAAAATAAAATAAATGGTTCTACATTTGACTAACTATTGTTAAAATTTCTAGGGTTTTTCTCTACATGAAATTTCTAGATGGGTAAAATAACGTACAAAGAAATCTAATGTTTTAAGTCAAAGTTCAAAGAATTAAAAGCTATCCAATCATTCTTATGCTTATGATTTATTTTTCGTTACTAGAAAATTACTCTTTTGAGAATTCTTCATTAATGACAAGATTATTTCTTCAGATTATGTTGCATTCTTTTTTGAAAATGTCACACTCGTTGAAAATCTTTTTTTCAAAATAATATTTTGAACAGCTTTATTTTTTCTTAATATTTCTATTGGTTAATGGTAATTTATGTTTTCTCCCGGTAAGCGGCCATATTAGTTCTAGATTAATTTAACAAAAGTGAGTGTTTCGTGCGTGGAATGAAATTATCACTGTTGTGTATCAAGTTGAGCGTGCACTGTAACAATCAAGGTTACATCGTTATAAATGACAGTGGCACTTGGTCAAATGCGAATACGACCGAGAAATTATGTGAACAAAATGCATGGAAATATTAGGACGAATAAGTCTTGTTGATCTCTATTCGTGCATACAAGTACATCTTTTTTTGTGACACTTTATGAATGTGGTCAAAGCAAAAGATCATCTTGCGGGGGGTCTTGGCTGGGATTACCAAAATCTGACTAGACCAAAAAGCCGCCTTACTGATAAGGTAACCACCTATGTTATTTTTGTTTTTTTTTCTCCGTGTTGTTCTTATACGATAAATATCATATTTCAAATTTTATTATACTATTCACATTATTGTAAAAATCTATATTTATTTCATATCTATTTATGTTGCTATATTAATCCAAACACATATTAGATATTGCCATAAAAAATATACAGTGTGCAAAATAAGTTATCGTACATTTTACTTTCAATAATTTATTATATTTTAACTTAAAATTTTTGGCATAAATAAATCAAAATTTATTCGAGTATAACTCCGAAAGTAACATCCTGGATATACAAAAATGACATTTAAACATAAACTGAACAAAAGGTATGTCAAAAAATTCTCCATGCACATAAATATATTTTTTCTGAATCATATAAATTTTCTATTTCGATCACAGTTAATGATCTGTAGGGCCTCCCTTCGCTCTCAGAATTTCTCTTATACGTTTTTGTATAGAAGTTACTAATTTTTTTTCTGCAGAAGGTTCAATATTATTCCATTTGTGTAACAGACATTGTTTTAATTATTCATTGTTTCTAATATTATGTTTACAAATACATATGCTTAATTGATGCCATAAATGCTTAATTGGTTTTAAATCAAACAATCGTGGTGGTGTAAGGCTGTTTTAGCATGTTGTACAGTAATCATTCTTTAATTTTTGTAGTCGAGTGCTTATGATTGCATCAGGGTTACATCAGGGTTTTCCTCTATACTGCAATTGGAATAGTTTCAGAGACAATCTTGATACCACAATCAATTTTGATCATACTAATCAATTTTGGAATAGTCGTCTTTGATTCAATTCTAATGGTCTTTAAAATTGTGCGCTTATGCAAAACTTTCAGTTTTGGTGGGTAGCCGTTATGTCTTTGATCATTCAAAATTTTTGTTTCCTAGTATTTGTTTATAATATACTAGATGATAGAGTGTAATTTTTTCACTGTATTAGAAATTTTTCGCGACTTTTATACTTTAGTTCGTGTAGTTATATTTGTGTATGGAAATTTGCTGTTTCAGTGTTCAACATACATTTAAGAGAGTTAACGATTAATAGAATCATAATAGTTTTCCATAATGTCTCTAATAAATAAAGATAAAAACAGATTAATCAAAATTTGTAACACTACTAATTATTATTTTGAAATATTGGAATGTAAATTTTTTAGATTGTATCGTATGGAAACTTATTTGACTCTTTGTATGTACGAAAGATCTTGTTAACATTTGTTATAAATTGAATTTATATTAATGTGTATATAGTGTTAATAATCTTATATAAATATCTTATATTTTTTAGCTTTTAATATCAAGACTGCCAATCTAAGACTGAATTACTGATGCATGGGATAATTATCTTTAATGTCGAGTACGGACAGCATCAATGGGAAACTGTTTTTCTTGCTTCAAGGTGCCACTTCCACCAGCCACCGCAGAACACTCAATTGTATATGAGCATAAAGACGGTAGTATCTTTATTGGGTTCTTCAAATGAAATTGATATAAAATAGTAAACAGTTATCTTATGAATTTATTTTGATACAGAAACAATGGAACTAAGAGGATTATTTTCAAATTCTTGCCAACAAACTGGTCCACTCGTGCCTGCAGAAACACATGTCAATGGAAACAGAAAATCATTAAATACTGTAACTACACTTAATAATGTAGGTTCAGATAACTGTGGATCTATGCCTAGTATACAAAATAATCTACGTTTGTCTCGAGGATTTTATGCACGATTACCTCCACTAGGCCGTTCAGGCACTTCTTCCGGTCTTAACTTAACCGCAGAATTTAAACAGCAACGAGAACCATCGGAAAATAAATTGAATGCATTATTTGACCAATATAAGGTATATTATTTGTAACACCTGTAAAAATATAATATAAGATTCTACGTTTAATTTATTTTTAAATATTTGTTTTCTTTAAAGGATTTACATGAGGATGTAATATTAGCTGATGGAATAGAAAGGCTTTGTAATGATTTACAATTATCCCCAGATGAGTTTAAAGTGCTTGTTCTAGCTTGGAGATTAAATGCTGAACAAATGTGCCAATTTACACGTCAAGAATTTGTACCAGGGTTGAGAGCTATGCGCGTTGACAGTATACGTGGCATTCAGGCAAGATTACCTGAAATTGTGCAAGAATTAATGGTCAATAGTGATTTATTTAAGGATCTCTATCGATTCACATTCCGCTTTGGTTTGGATGTTACCTCTGGTCAACGAATACTGCCAGCTGATATGGCTATTGTCCTTTGGCGGCTTGTTTTTACAATCCGAGAACCTCCACTTTTAACAAGATGGTTAAAATTTCTTGAATGTCATCATGTTCGAGGTATACCTAGAGATACTTGGAACATGTTTCTGAATTTTGCTGAAAGCATTGGAGACGATCTTGGTGCTTACGATGATGCAGAAGCATGGCCAAGTTTATTTGATGATTTTGTAGAATATGAAAATGATCAAATGAACCAAAATATTACTAAAGATGACATAATGAAGGATGCTTCTATTGATAAGGCTTAATAAATCTGTTTAAAAAAATACTTTGATTGAATTAAAGTATAGTCATATATCTGACTTTTGAATAGAATCTTCTAAAAAATGACTTAATGATATAGATATATAGGTGAAGAAATGGTAGGATAACATTGTGATATTTACAAATACTTTTAATCGGTGAATTAGTAAATGACTAAATTGTACATTTTTTATTCAAAAGCGACATTACATTTCCAAATATAAATAGGTGTATCTTAAGTTATATGTTAATTTATTAGTAAAGGGTTGTGAATTTTATACGGAGAACATTTAATAACAAAATCTTTATTTGTTGACAAATTCATGTCAAATCAAATATGGTGCAAAGTAAAATTAATATAAAATACTTCTTGTGAATTTTATAATTTTCAAAAACTTTTTATAATAATACTGAATTAGACATTAAAATTTGCACAAATCATATATCAAGGAGTATCAATTTTTAAAGAGATATTTTATTTATTAACAATAATACAAAATATATATTCTTAAAATTGCATTTTGTTATACATTTTTGTGTTGTAATACTAAAATTTGCATTTCAAATACTTTTAAATCATAATCTATAATGGTTTATAATATATCTCTTTTAATATGGCACATATAAATAAATTGAAAATATTTGACCGAAGTGGAAAGCAATATAACGTAATATTATTAGGAAAACATAATATAGCATATAAGATTAATTCTTTGATTACAAAAGTATACTGTGTTTTTGACAAAAACGAAAACTAAATTAGAATAATTTACAAATATTCGGTAAATATTTGGTAATTACTTGTTCTCTTACAATTTATTTTCAATTTCGTAATAAATTTTAAGAACTATGATACAATCAAATTAAAAAAATATATAAAGGGTGATAAAACAAAATCCTGAAACTTTAAGGGCTTATAATACACATAGAAAAAAATAAAAAATATCCTATCAACATAGATCCTAAAACTGTAATATCAACTTTTAGTATTTAATTACAATTCATAATCACATCATTTTGTTTTTAATGCAGAAAAATATTTTCGAAGTTATAAACATAATATTATTGTTTACTAATGTCAACAAAGATAACATTAATGTATTATTCATCTAATTCGATAAGCTTTACTCTTGGGAATGTGTCCATTCATAATTCTAATGTGAAAATGGCATGCATGTGTCTAATGTACGGTCTTGCCAATGGATACATATATACAGCTTATCTAAATGAAAATATAATGTGATTATGAATAGTGTAACATTGTTAAATATTAAAAGTTACTTTTAGGATTTTAGGACCTATGTTGATAGGACATTTTTATTCCTCTCTGTGAGTATTATAAGCCTTCTTAAGTTCTGGATTTTTTTTCATTACTCTGCATGTATAAAATCATGTAGTTTTCCAATTATATAATTACACACTCAAATGCTGTATATACAAAAAATCTAAAAATAATGTGAAATTATTAGATAATCTATACATGCGCCAAATTTAAATTATTATATATATATATATAAATATATATAAGAGAAGGAACAAATTTATAGTAATTATAAAAAAATAAAGAAGATTCTGTTCAAAGGACTTTTTGCATAAAAGAGTTTTTAATAAAAATCTCTCAATCTAAATTTGTGATACAGTGTGTACAAGTCTATACAATCTTGGATTCATTAATATTTCCTACTGATGAAAAAGAGCAAATGTGAAGAAGTAAAGTATTTTATATTAAATATAGATTCCAAAATTTGTGTCTGGTTAAACATAATATATTTTATTAGACTAAAGTGTATGTGTAGCCCTATGCAAAACATATGCATGTATTCTAGCGTGACACAAGTCCATTATAAATTGTGGTTTTTAATGATAATTTTTAGATTCTTTCCCATAATAAAATATAAAAGATTATTAAATCAGGTTCCTATTTAGTTTTTATACTTTTTAATGCACTTCCAGCAGTGCTAAGGAAGAAATATTTACTTTGTAATATTGTAAATTTCTTATTAACTAACAAGATATAATGAAACGAATATTCTAATGTAAATTAATATGATTTTTATAATATATTATATGAATATGTAATACAATTTGGGTGTATGCATCACAATGTATCATGTCAGTTAAAACAATTCTACAAAGACTTTATAAACTATCAAGGAACCATTTCCTACTTTATTTCATATGAAATTGTGATATATATTTATATTAAAATCAATTTCATGGAGATAAAAATTTTTCTTTAAAATTATGATTATCTAAAGTTGATATTTCGCAATGTACTTTCTTAATGCTATGCTTTAACATATTCACCGTCCTTTTGTCCACAGTACCTGATACAGGTACAATATATGAATACACCGAATATAAATATATATAGGAATTAATGTTGGATATAAAGCAAAGCTTACACAGAGATACGTAAACATAATTACATGTTATCAAAATATAATTGTAAAAATGAAAGTATAGCTTTATAATTCAGAGAAGATAGCTATTTAAATTAAAAGTAAATTATATCAAGAACAAAAAAGGAATAGGTCCTTTTTTCATATTGTAAAGCATTGAAATATATATGAAAAATAACATTGCCTTGTAATATGTATTTAATTTATTAACGATCACTATTACCATTGCTATCATAAATGAGAAAAGTTCAATTTTTAGAATCTCTGTGTAAGTTATATTTAATTTGTATGAGGATTATGTTAATACACATGAATGTATTGCTTAACCTTAACAAACGCACACATATTATTAACAATATTCTACTCAAATAATTTAAACTTAAGCTTCAACTTAAGTTTAAACTCATGCTTTACTAAGAAACAATTCTACTTTGTATCTAATGATTGCACATATATTGTTTCTATTTTTTTTAATGCTTCCACTAAACTTTCCTAAAATATCTTAAGATTACATAGAATTACTTTGATTGTGATAATTTTAAATCAGATTGAGTTACATTTTGTAGAAACATTGTCATTACAAAAAATAGGTGTGATAATTAAATAAAGAGTCAAATGATAGTTATAAGTAGAATCCAAGCATTGGTATGATAGATTATTTATAATGGCAGATGTACATTTCTAATAAGTCGTAATAAATCGTTTTAATTCTACAAAAGATATATATGAAAATGGTACACGAATAAAAATACTTTAACTCTTTCAATTCTCTTGTACGTAAAAATCAAATTTTTACATAATCACAAAGAAGTTTCCATATAATTTTATCATGTTTTATTGATAATTAAGAGTTACATTGATTATGTACTAGATGTAAAATTATATTACGATTAAAGTAATGTATTTTATGTTATCTTTAATAATAGTTTAATATATACAAATCAAATAACTGGTGATAGATAAGGATACACAATGATAAATAAATTCAATTTTAGGATAAAAGAAATTTTTTCTAAAAAATTAGAAGATAAGAGATAGGTCATTTTATTTATATTATTAATTTGTACTTTTTAAAGCTATACTTATAAAAAATGAAATATTTTAGTGATCAGACTATGCTATTCTACTTATATATATATAAGTAGATATATACATTAAAATACATTATATGCATTTTTATATGAAAAATGCGAAGATTATAAATTACTTATAATGTTTAAAAAATCTATTGTGCTTGTATATAATTATAAACAGATTATATGCTTTTTTCTTCTTCTTTCTGGTATAAGAACTAGTTATGATTATTACAGTATCCACTTTATCAAACGCTAGATAAAGAATTGTTATATATATATTCTTATATAAAATTAAGATAAACTTAAAATAATTATAAATAGATAAGTGGACTTTATTCATTAATTTTTCTATTTAAAAAAACAATACATTGATAAAACAATGAATTGAAAACAGAAAAAGGTTTAATTATAAAAATAAATTATTATATTATGTTATATTTTATTTTAATATGTATTTTAAATTATTTACAAAATTTAGTAATATCATTTACTTTTCTATTCATCTTATGACAAGTACAATATTTAGATGCACTCAAAATATTTTGGATGCATCAAACAAAATCCTGCATCGACATGCGGCGCTATGGTACAGCAAACAACGTTGATTGGTCGACATTGAGAATAGACACCAATTGTATGCAGCGTACGTTGAACATAAGATGTTGCATCCCAACATAACACACTAACCAATCGTAAGCGGTGATCTTGCTTCCATGCACTATAGTTTTATATTCATGTGTGATCTGTAGTATAAAGCTACGAGAGAGTGAGTGGAGTGAATAGATCGAGTAGAGAAGTTGAAATCGTTCAGTTCACGAAACGTTGTTGAAAGATTCTCTGAATTTCTATTAAACTAAGGTAAACAGTGTAACACGAACAAATTCTTATATTTATTAATTTTTCGCAGAAAATAGTGAATAATACAAATATAGATAATAACTGCAATGTATTATTATTTACACGTGACGATTTTTGTTTTTCAAACTTCTATCTCACACTTACGCAGTTTTACACAAGGAAAACTTCGTGCACGCCTTCGCCATTTTGTTTATTCGGTTTGCTTTTGGAGGGAAACAAATAACGATTTTTAGTTAATTTAAATTAGTCATCCATGTATATTATTATCATTCTGGTGATACGTGTGTTATAATTAATCGTGAGTCATATATTGATGCAATCGTATATTTAAATAAAGACGATTGCTTCTACTTTATTTTCTACCAACGCCATTTGTCAACAACGGGGTATATTGACCCCATATACATATCTAATTATTGTGAAGTGAAGTTAATACTTATTAATTTTAGATAAACATGGCTCGTACGAAGCAAACTGCCCGTAAATCTACTGGAGGAAAGGCACCTAGGAAGCAACTTGCTACAAAGGCAGCACGTAAAAGTGCACCTTCTACTGGAGGTGTAAAAAAACCCCATCGTTATAGGTATGAATAAAAAAGCACCAGAAAGTATATCATTAATTGATTCACATTATAATTTACTAATAATATTATATATTATTTTCTTGTCAAATTACTTATTTAACATTTGTATTTTATATTGTAGACCTGGAACTGTAGCGCTCAGAGAAATCAGAAGATACCAAAAATCTACGGAGCTGCTAATTAGGAAATTACCATTTCAACGATTGGTTCGTGAAATTGCACAGGATTTCAAAACTGATTTGCGTTTCCAAAGTGCAGCTATCGGTGCTTTGCAAGAAGCATCTGAAGCTTATTTAGTTGGTTTATTTGAAGACACAAATTTATGTGCTATTCATGCTAAGCGTGTTACTATCATGCCTAAAGATATTCAATTAGCACGAAGAATTCGTGGTGAACGTGCTTAAATTTCAAACAACTTACAAGTTTTGTTTCTATTCATTTTATTATCATGTCTTGTGACATTATTCTTCAAAGTAATTAAATACATTGCAATTCAGTTCTTCCCACAAATATTCACTAGAGTCTACACTGCCAAGCACTATAAGTAGTATAAATGGGGAAATATAATCTAGGTTTGCCTGTTCTATTAAATAAATTATAGAAAAATATTAAAATCTAGTAATAGACCATTAATTTCTCCAATTATGGTATGTGAACATGATTATAGTGGATTAGTATTTGTAATCAAACTTATATCATACATGCAAGCAATAAGTCATACAAAACATTTTGATATGTAGAGTATCAAGATTAGAATGATAGAACATAACTCATATTTTTACAATCTTACGAAATTTGTCATGTTAATTTAAGTTTCATACATTTAATGTTGTGTAAAAAAACAACATAAATTTATGTTTGGAAAGTACCTTATTATTTTATTATAATATTAGGCCAAAATGTTTTGTAAATGTAAAATTTCGTTTATAAGCAATATTATGTAAGAAAATTTCGAACTGCATTTACACACATATTTCATAAATATTAGATTAATAAAATAATAATAATCATCTGTGAGTATTTCTTAGTATATTTTATTACTGTTAACTATCATTATTATAGACGTTTATATAATGTCATGTAGTAAATATAATAGAAAATAAATTAAATAACCTAATAACGTGCAGAATAATTATTATATTTAAATATAAATTTTATTTTTTACATTTATTTTAAGTGAAACAGATAATTTATATATTTATTTAACAAATATAAGTACTTAATTGATACTAATTTTTAAATTTACACGATTTCTATTTTCTCTAATCGAAAAAAAAGAGAAACAATTTTTTTAAATTATGGTTAATATAATATAATAAATCATATATATTTCCTTTTATGAACAAGTATCGTAATTTTTTTTTTAATGTAAATGATACAATCTTGAATGTATTCTACGAAATAGAATCATTGCGCAATGTGTATGATGAAATCAAATGGTAATGTATGAGTAAATTTCCTCCACGTATGGAACGATCGGAGGTGGTGCAAGCACTAGGGGTAGCTTCCGATCTAAAGCTTTAATTACTGATTAAGAAAAAAGTAGGTCGTCTATTTATTTTCATTCAATTTATTTTACTCTTTGATTTCATTCATTTTGATGAAAATAATATTGTAATCATTTAAATTAAATCTCTGAAAGAGAAAAAAAAAATCCTTATCTTCTCTAGAATCATCGTAGGCATAGTTGTAAGTAAGAAAGTAAGAGTAACATGTCGAACCAGAGACGCGTATGCAATTAATAAATCGTCACAGGTTCACAGCTTTGTATTTTCTAAATGTAGAAGGGTAAGCCAATCGGGCGGCTCGTATTACAAGACAAAACTCTCCGTCCAACGTCCGATTGGATAGTCTGTACCGCGGGCTTACGTACCTCTCGCAATTTAATTTCTAGGGGGTAGGGACAAGGGAGCCCGTGGCTCGGAGAGCGTCCACTGCCATCGAAGTACAAGGAAGCGGATAGCGTTGGCTCTCAGCTTCTTGCATCAATTTTCCTTCTAAGGGTAAGTAAAAGCTGTCCAATTGACTTTTGCGAACTGTCAGATTGTATTTGTGTTTTCGCGCGATAGCGTCATATTATCGATTATGTCAAAAGACATATCGAAGATAAAGAAAAAAAATTTTTAATTTTCGACTTCACTAACAAGAAGCGTATCGCAAGAGCTTGCCTCCATTTTGCGATTGACGTTTCGTTGTGAGAATCGTTCACGAGCCTGACTGGTACGCCAACTAATTCTTGCCTGTCTCTCTTGTTCTCTCTCTCTCTTTTTTTTTCTCTCTCTTGATTGTCTCTCTTTCTCTTTGTTTTGATCATCTCGGTCTCATTAACATCTTTACTAATCGATGTCTTTTAATTTTTTTAATGATAATTTTTTTTGTTAGTTTTCTTACAATCATGTTCACGAAGATTTTTTCAATCGACAGCGCGTGGGCTTTTCCACATTAAACCAAGCGAGGGACGAAAGTTCGTCCATTGCGCAACGCACGGAGTTCCTTCGTGCGTGCTTCCTTTGAGCGCGCACAGTAACGGATTGTACCCCCACCAAACATTAAACCCCACTACTCTACGATTTCCTTTCCTCTAATCTTCCCCCACCATATATCGACTCTGACATTTTTCAATTTATACTAGTTTTTACTCGTGACTGTTTGTTATGTTTCCTTGATATTATTTTTATGATTTTTGATCGTTAACATTAATCTTTGTGATCTTAACTTTTTCCTATTATTGTATTGTCTTGTTTATTTTATCATTTCTTTTTCGTGCAGATCTGATATATATTGTACTCCTTGTAATACTTATTTTTTCTTTTTAATAATATAAAAATTTTTCATTTAAACACATTTTTATATTTTATAACATGATGCTTCTATTTTTGTTAGATTTAATTGTAGTTGTTGTAATTGCAAATTAATATAATTGTGAATGTGTGGAAAAATAGGAAAGAATTATTAAATAGTTCATAGAAGAAAGAAAGTTCTTTTAGATGTTTTATGAAGCACAATTAATATAAATATGATAATTTTTCATAAAGTTATTCATAAATAATATATGATTCTTTCAGATTAAACCATGGCACGTACAAAGCAAACAGCCCGTAAATCAACTGGTGGAAAAGCTCCCCGCAAACAGCTAGCTACAAAAGCAGCCCGTAAAAGTGCACCTTCTACAGGTGGTGTTAAAAAGCCTCATCGCTATAGGTATAAATAAAAATTAATTTATGTATGATAAATGTACATTTAAACAATTATTAAAGAAATTATATTCATTCATTATAGGCCGGGTACAGTAGCTCTTCGAGAAATCAGAAGATATCAAAAATCTACAGAGTTGCTGATTAGAAAATTACCATTCCAGAGATTAGTCCGTGAAATTGCACAGGATTTCAAAACTGATTTACGTTTTCAAAGTGCAGCCATAGGTGCTTTGCAAGAAGCATCTGAAGCTTATTTGGTTGGATTATTTGAAGATACAAACTTGTGCGCAATTCATGCTAAACGTGTTACTATTATGCCGAAAGACATCCAATTGGCTCGACGAATTCGTGGTGAACGGGCTTAAATAATAACGTGTATTTCTCATACATACTGTTTATTACTACTACTATTATTATTATTATTGTTCGTAATTATTGTGGATGATACCTTTTCATTCCAAGATACATGTTATGTTGTACTTCACGAAAACATAGAAACTATAAGACACTTATCCTTTATAATACGTACGTAAAATTCATCATAAAATTAAATAAAATATTAAATGAAATACCGGAACCTTTTTAAATATCGAAAAACATGCGGAAATTAATTTCATTAATACGAACGAAATATTTTTTAATATTTAGATATAATATCTAATTTCAGAAGAATTATCAATACTTTAAAAACTTACACTAGACATTAATAATTAGAAGTAACTGAAATACCGAAAAATGACTGCTAAAAATTTTAATGTATGAATAAACAAAATAAATAAATATCGTTAATTCTTCTGAATTTACAGAATAAAAGATTAAAGTGATAGTAATTATTTTCTCATTATTTGTCTACTATTATTATTAATATCATATGATAAACAATCTTTATTATTACTATCGATATGAAAAACAATATGTGACTTAGCAAATAAGAAATTTATCATATTGCTCTTATGTAGTATTCGTCATATTAGTCTTTTGATTGTATTAAAAACATGAGATAAAAGTTTGAATATTCAGTGTATATGTAAAAACATTTCATAAATAAATCTTCCAAATTGTATATCTATGCTCATTAATATATAATTATCTTAACGTGTATTATTATTTTAAAAAGCTGATACTGGTTTACATTTTTTATAAAAACCATATAATTAAAAATTCAATTAAAAGGTAATTTTAAAGAAATGTAAGAGAATCATGTGATAATTTATTGTCACTTATTTCACATTATTTGTATTTATTATTTAATTTATTTAGTAATGAAGTATAAACACACACACAACACACAATCAATTTAAAAGTTATATTTTTATATCATCTGTGCATAAAATTCATATTTTTAACAAATTGTAATTAGACAAAAATAATTAATCCACTCAATAATCAATCACTAATTGGATATTTGTCCCGACTAAGTTTTCGGGCGAAAATATAATAAATTTGATTTTACAGAGAAATAAATTAGTTCGAAAAATTTACGATAAGTCGAATCGTCGCGTGGAGAAAAAAGAAAACAAATCCCAGAAACAGTCACCGATCTTTTTAAGACCGAACTATGTTTATATCTATTTCTATAAGTATGTTTATTTTTCTCCGAAGTAAATGTGAACTCTCGAGACAGTTACAGCTTGGCCGTCCTATGGTAAACAAGTCGGATTCAACGCGTTCCTCGTAAGAATATTATTCGTTTTAATATTGAAACGATTTCAGATAAATTATTTATAATTATTAATCATTAATTATTATCTCTCGTTCGTTCATCAAATTGAGTTTTCTTTTTCTTACCATTGTCTATTAGTTTGGTATCAAATCAAAAGTGGATTTTTCATAAACACACACACACACACACACAGCCAATTTATTTTATAAATTTTATTTAATATTGAAACTTATTTTCTATTAATTGTGTATGTTTCTTTCACGAAATATTTTTTAAGCTTTCACCATCGTTGACGATAAGAGAGAATCTGTGTTAAACGGCTGATTAAACGTCAACAAGTTTATTAATATTTAAACAAATCTTTATTAATAATTCATTGTTTTTTAATTATTTAGCCAACTTTTTCAGGCTTTCTTTATAATAATCTAATGTTCATGGAAACACTAAATCATACAAAGTTATAAAATCTGGAATTTTATTAAAAAATAATGTCAATACCATTTATTATTACGAACCATCACGAAAACATTATTGCATATATATGGATAAAAATTATTCGTAAGTTTATAGTTTACATTTATAATATGAAATTTGTATGTCTATTATATTTATATTATATTATGTAAATGTAGAAATGTAACATATAGTTCACCTTTAAATCCAATTACATACACCTTTGTAGAATAAATATATATACAGAGATTAATATAATACAAATAATAGAAAATTATTTTTTATAAATCTTTATGTACATAATATTGTCATGGATTATACATTTGAAATTTGGCTTTAATTATATAATGAATATTCTACTGATTTAAAAAGATTTATATTTAATCTATATATATTGCACTTAAAATTCTTTTTAATTTCATTAAATCTACAATTCGATCAAATATCGTAAAAAATCTATTCACATGAACAAATTCTTCATTAGAGTTATGATTTTTAGAATATGTCGTATATATATTTAAACGACAAAAATCTCTGTATATTTAATGTACTCTAATTATAAACATAGTATTTAGATTAATAATAATATCTGTATTGAAAAATCACAGTCTCCGTTGACGATACCGTTGTGTAAGAGAAACAAGAATTTGTGCTACAAATGGCCATACAATAAGTAAAGTGAACATTCGTGGTGAACATTCTGGAAAAGGCCACCATTTTGGATACAATTGATCGTTATTTCGCTCCTACAACATATAATTTATATATAAGTTAACTAAATACTTGTGTTAATATATATTTATTATGCTATATGGAACTTACTCTTAGAGGTGATAAGGCTTGAAGTGCTTGACCTTCCAAACTGCGAACTCGAGCGGTTATTCGATCGAGATCTCGTTGTAAATTTTGCATTGTTGATGCTATTTGGTTAAAAAATTCAGCATTTATTTTATCATCTTTTTTTGTTTTTGGTCGACCTCTTTCTTGTTTCGTATCTACGTTTATTTCAGTAAGATCATTTATCTTAGCATGACCATTAAATAATTCTAATGGATTTTCTTTTATAGTGCTTTGCTGCTTGTTTGCATTATCATCTGAAGCACTAAATGTAATATTTGTTTTCTGAACACTTGCAGAAGATTTAATGGCATCTTTTGGTGTTCGATCTGGAGCAGACTAAAAAATATATATATAATAATTTGTTATTAATATTGGTTTTACTTTTGTAAAAGAACAAAAATTAATACTTACTTCAACTGTATCAATAAATTCTTCTTCTTCACCATCTGTATCAGGTGGTAAAGGACTTGCACTGTGACTACTAGCTGGACTTGTTTCTAAGCTACTTGTTATATGTCTTGATGTATTGCAAACTCTATGCGGCGATGTTTCTCTGGATACTAAATAGATTTAAGAAAATATATATTTAAGTTATATGAAAAGAAATATTACCCTAGTATAGAAAAAAATTATATATTTTACAGTAAAAATGGAAACAAACCTAAAGGAGAACCAGACAATGGCGAATCTGGCTGTGTGCGCATACGTTCTAAAACTGGTCCAACGAGCAATTCTAAATCTTCAACAGGTACACTTTCATAAAATGAATCCAAACTACCCACAAAAGTTGCTACATTGTCTGTATATGACATTGTTTCAACTATCTATATCATAAGAATAAAAAAATTATCTGGTTTTTGTAGAAACATGTAATGTATTAATAACACCCACATACTTTTTTTAATTCTTCAATATAATTGTTCATAGCTTCTGTTCGACTCATATTGCCTAAACGCTGCCAAGCATCCCATTTTGCTTTTTTTATTACTTCCCAAAAACCTGGTTTTGGTTGTTGGCATGGTCCTTCTGTAGCTTGTTTGTAATAAGAATAAAAACGTAGCATAATTTCATTGCTAGGTTGGTAAGCTCCTGAAATTAAGATTCTTATGTAATATAGTTATATGCAATCAAGTTTAATTTATTCTTTAATATAATAATATTATTTATAATATATAATATAATATATATATATATAATAATAATGTTATTACTTTTATTTAATTGACTTTATAAGAATGTTAATTATAAATATTATTTTATTAAGATGTAATCATTGATTTATATTTATTATTTAAAGAGTAGTCATTTAATCGGTTACATTACAAATAAGATATATATAAACAGTTTTGGTAGTTTTAATATTAATTAAGATTTTTTGACTACGAAACATTTCCTTATAATAATTTATATTATTCTTGTTCAATGTAATGAACTTTAATCGTTTGAGTTCACATAACGCGATCGCGTTGTTTAGATTTCATATAAAAAAATTTAAATAGAATTGAACGCTATGAACAATTGATGATAAACTCGGAATCTTATCTATAGAAAAAGTCCACTCATTTATATTAACGCATATAAATCACCTCGTTATCGGGCTGGTAGGCATTTTTCTACACAAAAGAAGGCGAGTGCTATCGCACTGTTGGGCTTTTTTCCCCATTTAATTAAAAAAGCACTATTACGTTTTCGACATTTTTCGACACTATTCTTTTTTTAAAAAAGTACGTAAAAAAATTAATAATATGATGAAATAAATTCATATATACAAGTGAATTAATAAATAAAAGATATATTTCTTCTTATTCTTTACTTCTTACTCCTGATCTATATATATAACTTTTGTTATTAAAATGTTTAAATATTCATTATAAAAATTTGTAAATTAATATACACTTAATTGTATTTGTATTCAACTAATAGGGAAGTTATAATTTTTTGTATAGACTAGTTCATGTAATCCACATTGTAGAAAGTGAAGTGAGAACATTCACTCATCTTTGCAGTATTCATGAAGAATTTATTCTCACTTCCCATTTATATTTCTGTCACTCATAATAAAAATTCTTAATTTATGCTTATAAACTTTGTGGAAGGAAGCTTACATTATTTTAGAATAATAAGCTATATAGTTTTACTTCCTCAAAAAATTGTAAAACTATAATGTAGTAGATTAGTTTTTAATAGTACCCTTTACTATTCAGATCTTCGATAATATAATTATATATTTGCTAAATGATCATTTCATATATTATATATTATCTTATATAAATTTTATATGGTGAGAGATAGTGTTTGAATATTTTTAAATAAAAATTTCAACTGTCTATTGTTAATAAAATTCAAAGAATGAACTAACTTTCACTGTTCAATAAAGAAATAAAAATATCTTTTATATAGTAGATGCAGTATGCATATTATTTAAATTGAATGATTGCTACAATAATAGCTAACTTGTTTACAAATGAGAGTCAACGTTCAAGGATATTTTAGAAGTGGTTTCATTATAAATTCGTATTAGTACATATTTCTAATGAATAGTTTTCTTAGATGCATAATTTTATTAAAAAATATAGTTCCATCGTACTCATTGGTAATTATCCATAAATTAAATTTTATTTAGTTATAAGGTAAACAAAAAAATGTACGAGAATATTTTAAAAGAGACGTTCTCTTATTTTAGTATTTTTTCTATTTCTCCTGATTGACGTTAATCGACAAGAACCGTATCCATTGAGAGAGAGAGTACCGTTCAAAGGGCACTTATCAGTATCGCAAATATTTCATTATAGATTGTAACAAATATGAACGACGAAATTGAAAATGTTCGATAAAAGATTTTATAAAAAGTAAATTTTAGCATTGTTTATACTATACAATTCAAAGATGTGTTTCGTTCGATCTATCATATGTGTAGAAGACACTTGTCATCGTGGAGTTAACAGATAGATTTACATATGCTATAATTGCTGAATAAATTACCGTTTTTTGGCAAGCTCCTAATTACGTTCACAGCCGCGTTAAACTTTTCTTCCGTCGTCATATTAATAACTTCGTTAAGGCTTCCGAAAGTATGCTTCACTTATTATATTCCGACGTTTCCCCTGTCAATTTTTTGTCTTTATTAGACAAAAGATAACACGCACGAGATTGTTTAAGGATTCCAAGAATGAAAATTTATCATGCAACTTTATAATCGACATACGGAGGAGAATAATTGCTGAAAACTTTACATGAGCTTGCCATCCACGAGTGACAGATTACCGATTGATTATTGACGATCGTCCGGTGATCATGCAAATCTCTAAGCTTGGCGCATGCGCATATCAGCGCTTTCTATACTAACTATGACTATGCGGTTTTTTTACGCGCAGCCACGACCGTCGTAAAAATTATTATAAATATTTAATCATTGATCGTACAGACAGCTGAATACAGATAATAATTATTATAATTATTATAACTTATTTTTTATCTTTTAAGAATTATGTAATAAAATGTTTTTGATAATTATACCTAATATACATTAATTCACGATTAAAGAGTTTATTACATTTTTTTTTAGCGACATTCAATTTATTTTGAATATATTTACATTAATTTGCTTTTCTTTTATGACGAAATAAATTCTTATTGTTATTAAATATAAAATTAAATATTGACATTGTTTTCAATTCTAATAATAAATTTAATTTTTTCTTCCGAGGACTGAATATTGATGCACTATAATCAAAGATTTTGATGTAAGTTATAAAATTTATTGATAGCATAAAATAACATAGTTACAAGTACATAAAAGCACAACATTAAACAATTAAGTATTGTTATAATTCATTACTTTATAGTTAGCAAATACGAAATTGAATTCATATTTGTTACTATTAAGTTATGCTAATTTTATTTTCTATTAATAAAAATAAAATTTGATACTTACAACTGAATCTGTAACTATGCTTAATTCATTTCACTTTAATAAATCACATGTAGTTTTATCAAATTTAATATAAACGTAATAATCATTGCACTATATTAATTAAATTCATGGAATGATTTTTTACGATAAAAATAATAAAAAATATTTAACAAAGTATATGCTTATAACTTCTATGTATATGATTGTAAATCGAAAAATGAAAATAGGCATTTGTACTTTATATAAACAAATATTACATTTTTTGATTATAACAATGCAATATTTTATTATACTGATATTTGCTTAAAAATTAATAAGGCACTTTTATTATTAATTATATTATTTAAGTATATTCAACTTCAAAATCAATTCTTTTAAAATAGATAACAGATCTATATTAATTACAATCTAAAAATATCTATGCTAAATATAATGATTTACTTTGTGAAGAAAAGTTTGCTAACATCATTTAACTTACTGCGATATAAAATTAACTCAAGAAAAAAGTACAAAGTGTTTTTCATTAGAGTTAACTAATTATACAATTGGCAGGAGTTAGCTTATTTGATTTCATTGAATGAGCAGCTTCACTTGATGTCGTGCCTGTTGAAGTTATAGATCCTCTGCGTTTAATTACTGGAGGCATGCTTGTTGTAGTATCCAAAAATTCATCATCATCCGAATCTACCTCCTTATTTTTAACATTTCCGAACTGTTTTTTTGGTATTTCACGTATATATCGTTCGATCATGTTTTGATTATAGCCATTAAAATTATCATTGTTTATAAAAACTGGTGAAATCTCAGTTGTTTTTTGTAGTTCATTATTATTTTTTTCAATGTACATTCTTTGAAGTTCCGCTAAAGCCTCGTCCATAAAACGCACGTTCTGCTGCTTGCGATCAACTATATTATCCAAAAATTCTATGGATTTAGTATTTTTTACAAGCTCATTATCTTTTATTATCTCTTTATTTAGCATAGTAGTAGTAAAACCCATAGGAAGCACAGGTTTTTGTGATGGTGGTTCAGTATGCAATGAAGACTTGTATATATTCGGCTGTTCATTTACTGGTTCTGTAGAATAAATATTATGATTATATAGAAATCCTTTACGAACATCTTGCTTCTCTTCTTTTATTTCTGAAGGCAATTGAACATTCATTTTCGGAGCAGTATAAACATTCTGTTTTCTTTCTTGTTCCATAAATTGTTCATTCTGAGTGGGAAGATTTCTCCATCTTGCGCTATTCATTACAAGTTGAGCTAATTGTTGAATTGTCTGTTTGGGTACTACTTTATGAAGCTCTTCGGAATATTTAGAGTTTGTTACTACTTTAGCTGGTGTAGAAGTATCACATGGTACATAGCATGATTGAACATTAGGTTGATTTAAATGTTGTAAATATTCATAATGTTCACCTTGACCAGAAAGTAAACTGTTATCCATTACTTTTTTAAAATTACTTTTATTTGAATTTGCAGATTTTAAACAACTCGTAAACTTTTCTGACATTTGTCGTTCTGTTTCTAAGAAAGCAGCTGTAAGTATCATTGCTGCTGTAGGCTCTCTTTGTGTAAATAACTTTCTCCGTGCATGTAAGCTTTGTCTCATGCTTTGCTGGAGTCTTGCATTTTCAACTTTCTCCTCAATTTGTCTCTCCATTTCTAAAAATGTAGTCGTTTCAGTTATTAATGTTTCTATGTCAAATTTCATGTTTCCAACTTCTTTAGCAATACGTCTTTCTGCCGAAGATTTTGTCCGTATTTCTGTATTAAAAGTAGGTTGTAGTCCCAATCTTTGTTGAGCTTTAACAAATGGAGACTGCGATACAGGTCCCAATTTCGACCAAATCGTACCTGGTTTTTTTGATGGACTGGTTATTGGTGAAACAATACCAGGTTTTGTTAATATAGGATTCTTATTGACCAATTCTACATTAGAACTTGGTAGCGTACAAGGTACACGACATGGTTTTGGAGGAACTAAATCCAATTTCGGAGGAATCGCTCCTGGTTTTGGTGGTGGACATAAAGTAATTATAGCTGGTTCTTCAGAAGATGGCTGATTTTCTAGTTCTTCGTTTGTATTCTTATTAAGGACTTTAGTATGAACAACATTCAATAAATGATCTAACCGATCTTCTAATTTACTTTGTCGATCTCTATCCAAGTTCAAAAATTTAGATACCATATCATTTTGTGCTGCAAGTATCTGAAACAAAATTATTAAGTAAATATATACGAAATTATGCGCATCAATATTATTACATAAATAATTAAAAGATTAATATAAAACCTTATTAACAACATCGTTTTGGGAATTAATTGCATTAACAACAAGTTGTTCCAGTTTCTGTGCTTTCTTTTTTCTTATTGGAACATCTGGCATATTTTCTGTATTTACAGCTGTATCTTTTGATTTATTATCATTTTCTGATGGAGTAAGAGAATCTATTGAATAGTCCAATAAAAGACTATTGTCGTTATAAGTTGCATTATTTGTTATTACTGAAACTTCAGGATTTGCTTGAGTAAAATTATCTGTTTGTAATGAACGATTATAAGTCTCATTCAAATTATGCTTTTTTTTGTCATTTTCTGCTTCACAGAAAGCTACATTTAAATTTGACGTTACATCTGGCAGGTAATCCGGAGAGGTAGATCCATATTGTTCTGCATCTATTGTAGTAGATCTTGGAACAATATTTTGATAACGTCTGTAAGTACCTGATGCTATGTTTTGTCCATAAATAATTTTTTGTGGTTCTTGTGGCACTGCCCTATTATTCGTCATTGCAATTTGATGTAACTGGTTATGTTGCCTTAAAATATTAGGATTCATAATAGGTAAAGTAGCAGTTTGTGTTGCATCATTAATAAAATGTGGCATTCTTTCTTGGGTTATGTTATTTTGAAAACCTAAACCAGGAACAAACATATTTTGTTGCTGCATTTGATTATACATATGATTTTGTAAGAAATTCTGATTATGCTGCATATTTTCTTGTATTATTTGATTTTGTACATTCTGTACACTATTTTGATAAGGAATATCTCCATATGGATAACTGGAAAATATGTTTTGTCTACATTCTTTGATCGGTTCTTCTATAGGAACAGAAATGCGTTGGCTCTTTGTGCTCTTTTCTTGCATACAAGTATTAACAGCAACATCTTTTGTAGGAGAAAGGACACCATAAGGTCGAGCTATAACAGTTTCACTTGATTCTGGAGAATCAGGATATTCGAATTCACCTGTTATTAATTTATAATTATAGTTTATATAATTTTGGAATGTTTGTACATATCAAATTACAATAAAAAGTATTCTTACAGCCAATTGGCCACGTTGGAGAGAGAGCTTCTGTACGAAGAATAGATTGTACTGGTTCTTTACACTTATACCGCATTTGGAGGTTTTTAGATGATTTCACATCTTTCGGAAGAGATTTTATATTTATTGCAGTATCTAAAAAAGCATATATATATATAAACAGAACAAGTAAAAAAGGATTTCATTACTATAAAATTAAAATTGACTATTATTGATACTAACCTACTGTATCGATTCCATTATCAATATTATTTTCCAAGCGTTTACCTCTAGTAACCTTGTCAATTAATTCATAATATTGTTCTACGTCAGCACGAGTACCTGCTTTTTTTGCTTCACGATAACATATTAATACTTGTTTCATTCTTGAACGACATTGCTTTGCTGAAACATTATATCCTTTTTTTTTCATATATCTAGCTACGCTCTCCCATATAAGTATTGTTTTTGTAGCATATTCAAATTGCTTTTGCACTTGGTTATCTGACCATATAGAAACCAATAAAGATGTACTTTCAGGCGTCCACTTATACTTAGGTATATTTTCGGTATTATCCATTTTTGATAAATTCATAAATTCATTTATGAGGTCATCAAGGCAGTGAACATAGATGAAAAATGCTATAAACTACAATAATGCAAATCAACAGGTTGTTGATTGAGAAACTAGATGTATGCTTCGAGAACGATGAATCGACTTACAACTTACTATAGGCAAACGATTAACCGACGACTGTCTCCAAGCGAGAGCGTTCAAAATTTAAAAGGATCGTTGTACGATTCTCTGATTGGATAACGATTCTCAGATGTAGATAGTATAACTGTTCCATGTATTATGCACATCCGTACTGCGCATCTTTTATGAAATCGAAATAAGATATTATATATTGAATACATCGTGCAAATATTCGTAGAAATATTTTTACTTTATTCTTTTGTTTTACAATTATATTAATGTCTCATTATGCGTATTTACACATAATAATTTATCTGATTATTTTATTGATATTGAATCAAAAAAATTGTAAATCATTTGTATACACAATATATCTATTTATATCAAAAATATTTAGCATTTCATTATAAGGAATGACATGGATGATTTTACTTTTTACTTAAAATTTACAAAACCTATAATTCTTAACTTACCATATCTCAAAGGTAAATTCATTTCATTCGACGACTTTCTTAAATTTTGTTCAAAATTCTGTGTATACGTAGATCGTGTAATGGCTGCATTATGGTTAAACAAATTAACTGAAATAAACGAAAATGTTCCGAAGGACAATCTTCACGTTGAATATTTGAAATTATTGTTATTTGCTCTACAGAAAAATAACCTTACAGGTATTTTTACAAAATATCCACCTGAAGGCTCGCTTCCGCAGTATCCAGAAATGAATACGGTTTGTTAATAATAAAATTAACAAGTTCTTCTCAGAGTAATAATGAATTTGTTTATTATATTTTATTAACTTTTTACAAAAGAATGTACATTATGTAATAGAGATATGATTTCTAAGGCATCAAGATTATATTTATATTGATAGTGAAATTTTAATTAAAAAGAAAAACATAATATCTGAGGTCCACTTTAAGAGTAGACACAATAATATTTTTAAAAGTTTTTGTAAACATGTGTACTATTTGACTTTATTTTAAAGTTATTACCACATTCGCATTACAATAATCTGTAATCGCTTACACTTACAGATGTTCAAAATGACCACACCTGGTTTTTATTTGAGTTTAAATTCATATCATGGAATTTCACAGTTTTTAAAAAATTACAGATATACGTTGAATCTGTTAACAGCCTTCTTCTATATGTGTTCAAGACAAGACACAGCTCTGTTTATTATTACATGTTGATCCTTTTAACCAATATTGATCATTTTAAAGATTTTTGATGAAGTTAAGCTATCATGAATTATTGAAACACAAAAGTGGCTATAACTTTAAAACAAACTCAAATATGAAATATGTTTATATAAACTTTTTCATTATTTTTGTATTCCTTGTTCACTTTTAAAGTGGGTTCTAAATATTACAAAACACTGTGTATATATAGTATATAATGTATTTTGTTAAGGCAACGGACATGATAAAATTATTGATTCCAACGAAAAAAAGTTCTTTTCCTTCAATTTATACTGCAATAGGAAGTGGTATGTCCGAATTCGCTGCAATTCAGGAAATACCGAATTTCGGATTACATGGTTATTACGCTATATCTAATGAACCTTTACCATTGTATGTAAATATTTATTAAATTTTTGTAGAACCATTAATATTTTATAATTATTACCTGTAAAATAGATTTGCTTAAAAAATTGCATAGGTGGACACAAAATAAAACTAGACTATTGAAAAACAATGAGAGTAGAAAAAAAATATTTCGACACAAAGATTTTCTTGAATATAAAATGCTCAAGGAAATGGATTTACAACAAATCGCATCAAAACAACAAATGAAGTTAAAAGAAAAATTAATAAATGATATACAAGATAATTGTATCGCAAATGAAATTGATTCCGAAGAAGAGTACTCTTTACAATGATCATATAGGTTGGATATAGATAATTACTTATCAATTTAATTAAAATTGTATTTTTTAGAAATAAAAGAAAAGAAATATCAGGAAATGAAATAAGGCCATGTTGGGGAACAAATCGTTATTTTGAAAAACTTTTAGATCAATTTCGTTAGTATATTTATTACTGCATAAATTTATTACTATACTACAAACAGGCGAAAACTCATTCGTTGTTAATTTATTTTTAGCTCATATTACTACAGATCTAGAAATAACAACAGTGGATACATTATTGCATTTACTCAAAAACAAAAAATTAGATAAAAAAGAAATTAAGGATAATTCTTGTGTTTTATCTGTGAGAAAAAAACAATTCAAAAAAACCTTCGATTAAACATTTTACGCGTAAGACATCTCGTTAAAATATATATTAATTAAAAAAAACTCTTGATATGATTTTTCTCTTAATTATTATAATCATTTATTTAGATCCGCGTCAAAATTTGAGAAAACTAAGGGTAAGGTCTTGAAAAATAGCATATGTTGACTTTAATATATAACTTCATTGGTTGCATTACAGTGTTGTGTGTCTGAATTAATGTAAACATTCTTAAAAATTTTATACAGTATGTTCAGTTTTGCTCATCCCTGTATCACTTAAAGTATTTTCAATTTATAAATTATATTTTATTGTTATTTGTTTCTGCCATTGGTTTGTGCTAAATGAATTTCTTTAAGCTGGTGAGGGATCCATAAATCGAGTTTATCTGAATCGATAATGGCCTTGATATAGGCCTCATTGACTTCAACTGGACGACCAGATTATTCAGTATTTTTCAATGAAAAATCACCAGAACAAAATCTGTCAAACCAATATTCACAATACGTTTTTTTAAAGGCTTTATTCCCATACGTGACACATAACTTCTTGTGTGCTTGCGATGCGTTGTGGCCTTTTCGGAAATAATACAATAAAATATGTCTGAAGTGCACGTCTTGTTCTTCCATTTTTAAATTGAGATAAACACAAAACTAAAGAATTAATTGATATAATTTTTTTACTAAATGAAAGGATCGTAAGCTTCGTGCTTTCGTTTCTCGCGCGTCCGATGCTTCTGGTTATTTTCCCTAGGACATCGATCCTTGCGAGATATCGATATTGCTTGAGACGCTACAGCGGACTTCTGCTATGGCATGTGCCGCTACTTTCACTTAAATGACCACAAATTAGAGAACAATTATTGGTTATGCTGTAGTTGAGTCGTTTTTCGATAGGTTTTAGATCGAACCTAAACTGGTTATTGATAGTAATAATAACGAAGCTCTATACAAGGAGGACGATCGAGATAGGCGTTCTCGTCGAATTTGTGTCGTTGAATAGAAGGAAACATCGGATACGATAATTCTCCACAAGGGCAGCGGTGGTGTTCGGGGGTTCAGATTTTAATACGTGTGTGTGTTGTTTTTTTTTGTGTTGTATGGTACATATTTGAAAAATCAGACCATGCGAATCAACGCGCTCTCTAGTGGCAATAGAAATCATCCTCTCATTTTGAATATTGTAGCCACATTTACCACTGCGATGGTCCTCCTTGTATATAGGCTCCTTGATAATAATAATGGCAGCCTGGCGGGAACTATTTCCGTGTTGTTCTTTATACAGATTCGATCAAAGTTTATTGTTTTATGTTAAATAATAGTAGTATATAATTTAAGTATATAATACTATATAACATAAATAATAGTGAAAACAGAAATACAACCAAGGTTATTAGAAATTCATTCAATGTTAAGATTGTATGATAATGATAAAGTTTGCCTGTTTATCGTTTTGTATTTTATAATTTGAATGAGTTTTCTATCATTGTTATCTTTTGTTATTATAAGATTCAAAATATAAAGATGGAAAAAGAAGAAAGAATCAGAAAAGAAAGAAGAAATATAGAGTTTGAAAATAATAATAAAAAAAGATCGAAGACTTTTGATGACGACACTTCTATACAAGAGGTAACTATTTTGTAGTTACAATATATAATGACAAAAAAATATTTAATAAATAATTATTATTATTAATAAAAAATAAAACAATACAATATAAAATTTTTTATTTAAATAAACTTTATTTACTAATATATATTTATATTCTAAGTAATAAACAAACCATTTTATTTTTCTGTTACAGTATACCATTGGTAAGATCACTAGAATTGCTATGCAGAATTTTATGTGTCATGATGCTATGCAAGTAACATTAAATCAAAATGTTAATTTTATTGTGGGAAGAAATGGAAGTGGAAAAAGTGCTATATTAACTGCTTTAACGGTAGGACTTGGAGCTAGAGCAAACGTTACTAGTAGAGGTGTGTCTGTTAAAGGTAAGGATATAATATAATGTTACAAATATTAAAGTTTAAGAATTTTATATATGTACACATGTGTAACTTTGATATATTTAATAGATTTTATCAAGAAAGGTAAAAGTGGAGCTGTTATAGAAATAACGTTAATTAATCAAGGTATTATGGCTTATAAACATGATGTATATGGTGATTTAATAACAGTTGTTCGGTATATAGGCAAACGTTCTGGATATAAAATTAAGAATTGGAAAGGTTTGTACATTTTTGTTTTTTACATTCAATATTGCGCAGTAATGATTTGATTATTATATGTGTGTTACAGGTGAAATCATTTCAACAAAGCGAGCTGAATTGGAAAATTTATTATATTCAATGAACATACAAATAGATAATCCCATTTCAATATTAAATCAAGATGTGTCTAAAACATTTTTAGTGTCATCGAAGAGTGAAGAAAAATACGAACTATTTATGAAAGCTACACGCTTAGATGTCATTGGAAATAATTATAGAGAAGCAATAATTTCTAGCGAAGAAGCAAAGGAAAAGTTGGAACATGCTAATGAGGTATGCATATATTTTTTAATGTTATTAATAATTCAATTTCTAATAAAGCTAAAAATAAAATAAAAAAATTTTATAGATATTACATAAAACAAAAGAAGAACTGGATGAACTTAAGGAAAAGATAGAACTATTAAATCAAGTTGACGCATTAAAAAATGAATTAGGTGATTTACATATGGAATTGCAGTGGGCTATTGTAAGTTAATATATTATTTTTACTTTTAATTTATATTAATATTTTATTGTTTATTTATACATTTAAAAGATGTGAACAAAAGTAATAATAAATGTATTAGAACATTGTTTAAAGTACATACCTCAAACTAGGTCATATCAGAAGAGGCAAAATTGCAACATTATGAAGAAAATCTGCAGAAGTGTAAACAGAAATTGCTAGAGTTTCAGGAAACTTCCGGATCAATGGAATCCAAAGATGCAGAAATTACTGAAAAAATTATGTAAGTAAATATAAGAAAAAATAATGTAAGATATAATATATTAAAAAAGGAATTATATTTATTTAATAATTTTTATTATATCTTAATTTCATTTTTTGTAGGCAATTACAAAATGAAATACAAATAGCTGAAAAAAATGTTTCAAATAGTTCAAATGAATTCACAGATGTTAAAAATAAATATAATATCGAAAAAGAAGCATATTCTGTTAAGATAAAAGAATTGCGTGCTATACAAATGAAAACGAAATATTTAGAGGAAGATATTAATTTACTTCGTAAAGAAATCCAGCGGCTAGAATGGTAAGTTGATTTTTTTTTAATATAAATAAAATAAAATATAATAATTATATAAATGTCTAGTATAAGTGTATACACACGATTATTTCTGTTAGCATTACAAATTTTTCTATTTTTAATACTTATCGAAATAATCGAATGTATACATTTAAATTGAACATACTCCACGTGCGTGTGTATATATTTATAAATATTTATAAATATAGCGGAGATGATAAACAGGATGAACGAAACAAGATAAAACAAAGTCTTGAGGAATTTCGAAATAGATTTGATGAAATTGAAGCTATATTACGTACGAAGGAAACCGATTTAATGCATTTAGAAACAAATAAAATGAAACGTTCCCAAGAAATACAATCAAAAAGAATCGAAATAGATAATAATGAAGTTCGGATTCGTATGTATAAATAATATTAATAGATTGAATGGAATATTTTAATTTTTATATTGCATAATGTATTGTTTTTCTATTAAAAAACAAGGCAAACTCAAACGAGAAATACAAATTTTAAAGCAGCAATCTGATAATGCATTAATTGTGTTTGGACCAAATATACCACGACTTCTTAAACGTATCGAAGAAGAACATAGAAAAGAACGATTTAAAAAGAGACCTCGTGGTCCTTTAGGTTTGTTGAAATAATTTTTTTAATTAATATTTATTTTACATATAAAATATTTAAATTATATTTCATACTAAATGTTTGTATATACTCAATTATTATACAGGTGCATACGTAAAAGTGAAAGATCGAGAATGGATTCCTGCTGTGGAAAATTTTTTGGGTGCTAACTGTCTTACTACGTTTTGTGTAGATAATAGTGACGATGCTAAAACTCTTACTAAGATCATGAAAGAAGTTTATCTTAACGAAAGAGCGCCTCAAATTGTCTATAGTAAATTTTTTAATAAAGTAAGTCTGATAAATGTGATAAAACATAAATAAGAAGTAATATGAATAATAACAATTTACGATTATTTTTAGGTTCATGATGTTAGTCAACATTGTACACGTTCGTCCGTCTATTTCAACATGTTAGAGGCAATGGACATATCGGATCCTGTTGTAGCAAATTGTTTAATAGATCAATGGGAAATCGAGTGTATATTACTCATTCCAACGAGTTTAAAAGCGTGTGAAATTATGTCTGATGCAAAGAAAGTTCCACTTAATTGTAAAAAAGCCATAACTCAACAAGGTGATTTGTTCTATCCAGATCCAAATTATAAAACTTACGGGGCAAGAAAGGGAATAAGGGCGAAATATCTTCAAATATCCACCGCAGAAGCTATTAAGTGATTATAATTCTTTTACATAAATATTTTTCATAATAGTTTATCTTTTACTAGTAATTAAAAATATCTTATAAGTTATCTTTTCTGACAGTCAATTAGAAGAAGAACTCTCCATCGTCGAAGAAGAAAAAAATGCTACTATAAAATTATATGCAAATCTATGTGAAGAGAAAGAAAGAACAAATCGAGAGTTAGCAGATGTTAATGCTAAAGTAGAGAAATTACATTGTGCACGAGACAAATATAAAACAGCAATTAATGATTTAACAGATAAGATGAAAGCGAGTGAAGCTACATCTATAACCGTATTTGTTAGTATAATTTAAAGTAAATCACGTATAAAATAAGATGTGTATCAGACAATATATTTTATTTATTTTTTATAGCATACTGAATTAATAGAGTTAGAGAAAAAACTTCAAAATGAAAAATCTGAAGAAGAACGTTTTAGTATAGAGGTAGAACAACTGGAAAGGAGTATTAATAATTTAGAAATAGAGATTAAATGTTATAGAGAAATGAGATATGGTTTAGAATTGAAAGTCAATCCTTTAAAGGTAAATTACTATATATTTATATTTTATATTATATATTTGTTATTCAATATATTTGTAAAGTTATTTATTTTTATCTATTTTAAAAATGTGATTTGACAGGAAGAAATTCGTCGTCTTAAAGATGAAAAAGAAATGCTTCATTTAAAAGGTCAGCAAGCAGTTCGTACTGTAGAAAAAACCAAAGAGATTGTGCAAAGTGCCGTTGTAGAGTTAGAAAATCAACAAGAAAAAAAAAATAAAGCGGTAGAAAATGCGATCAAATGTTGCCCAAGAATAAACACACATAGGTTGAAACCTTTCTTGCTTTTTCTTTTTTCTTCAAATAATTAATATGTATATAGATGAAATTACATTTAAATTCTAAATAATCTTATTCTATAGAACGGTTGATGAAATTGAGAACCTTCATAAGAGTTTGAAAGGAAAAATTCATGAAGTAGAACGATCGTTTGATTCTAAAGAAAAATTATCTAAAAAGTTAAAAAACCTGAAGGAAAAATTCAGTAACGTAATTGAATTTTCTTCTGTGATTGAAGAGAACAATAAAGTAAGTTATTTGTATAATTTAATTTTAATTTTATGAAATTGTTATATATATAAAATTGTATTTATAGAATCAGTTGCAACGTCTTAAAATCCGGAAAAAAATGTATGAAGATATGAAAGAAGCTATTGGCATGAAAGTAAAAAATTCTTTTTCTACTATATTAGCACTACGAAAATATAAGGTACTAAGATTTATATTTTATTCTATAAATTTCATTTTGTTCGCTTAGCTATGATCTCATGAAATGATTATTTTCTCAGGGTAGTATAAACATAGACCATGTACATAAATTACTTACACTACAAGTAAGTCCTCAAAATGATAACCAAAGATCAGTTACCGATACTAGATCATTATCCGGTGGAGAAAGATCTTATTCTACAGTAGCTTTCATGTTAGCTCTTTGGGATTGTACTAACTTGCCATTTTATTTTCTAGATGAATTTGATGTATTTATGGTATGTCGATCATTTTCTATATTAAGTATTATCAGTACATTTTTCACATTTACAATGTTTACTTTTAATATTATTTGCTAGGATAAAGTAAATCGACGAGTGATAATGGATATTTTGTTAGATTACACAAAATCACATCCTCAATGTCAATTTACTTTCCTTACACCTTTGGACACATCCAATATCTTAGCAGAAGATTTTGTGACGATACATCAGTAAGTGTATCCTGCATTATTTTTGTAATATAACAAAAACGCAGAATAGATAAATAAGTATTTCAGCTTAACTATGTGTTTCTATTTTTTTCAGATTAGCTCCGCCGGATAGAGCGTAACAAATAAATTATATTTTTTGTGAATTTTTTCTAATTATATTTTTATGTAAAAATATAAAAAAAAAATAAAAAAGACAATTCCAGAAAAAGTAAAGCACAATTTCGTTCTTATTATAATATATAATAGACTTATTTCTTTTTATGAATAAACGATAAAGATATTGTTATGTTCAACGTTTCAAGAAATTAAGGCTTGAAGATGTTGAAGTACCGTGAAATATATCGAGGAGGAGGATATGTTAACTGTAAGTAGATCAAGGTTCGAACCATTGCGCGAATCTGGTTCGCCAGGAGTTCCAGAGTAACGCAATATCTTATATTATGCGCATTACGGCGACGCTCCATGTGCGTTTGCTGGGTGGAGGTGTGGGGCGTGGTTATATTGTGCAATAATTGGTACTTAGCGTTGTTGGAGAAAGTATTCGAAAAACGATGCCCATGAAACGGCGCAAATCGAGCTCGTTTACCAAATTTCTACTTTCGTTTTCTTTTTAGGGGATCACACGGAGAGATGTTAATTAAAGTCGTAAAACTTTTAATTGATATGAACACTTTTTTACGACAATAAGAAAATGCTGAATATGAAAAAAATATGGTGATAAGGTAAAAAGGCAATATAAAGATTTAAAGAGAAAGACAATTTTTGGATGTAGTTGCTAAAAAACAAATTTATTGATCAAACATTATTCCTAACAAGAGACGAGTGGAGAGATCGGTTCAGTGATAGAAGGCCGGGGCTGCATGTGCGTACGCAACAGGGGTTGCGAATTTAGCTACGGGTGCGGCGTAGGTGAGAGGAGCGGCGAACTTGGCAACAGGTGCGGCGTAGGCGAGAGGAGCGGCGTGGGCAACGGGAGCTGCAGCAAATTTAGCTACAGGCGCAGCATAGGCCAGAGGAGCGGCGTGGGCGACGTGAGCGACTGGGGTTGCGACGTGAGCAACTGGGGTTGCGACGTGAGCTACTGGAGCAGCTGCTACGGCCTTGACGGCAACGGTGACAGGTTCTTTGCGTACAACGGCGTTGAATCCATTTACGGGATCTGCAGTATAGTCGACGGTGCGTCTGGAGCCATCAGCTTCGAGAAGAGAGTAGCTACCCTGAACGACATCGCCATCACGAGTCTCCTGTTGGCTCTTAGCATCTCCAGTCAGGCTGTCGTGGACGTCGTAAGCGTAGCTGTATTGGGGATGTGGGTCGTAGTCGGCATCAACAGCCTTAGCTACTACAGCTTTAGCTACTGGAGCCACCGCTACTGGTGCCGCAGCATAAGCTACAGGACCAGATTGGATGAAACCGGCATTAGCGGTGGCCACGAGGGCAGCGAGGACTATGAACTGTAATGAAAAAATAAATTTGTTAATTAGAGAACATTTCTAACATTCAATTGATTTAGCTCGACTTAACGATTTTTTCTAAGTTTTTTTATATGTGTATGCTTAGTTTGTCTCCCGGACTTGTATGTTCCAAACGATCAAAATGCAAATCGTGTCTCGCTTTCGAATAGATTACATTCGCGACGATATTCTAAGGATTACGATTGTTTCGTATTACGACTGATTTCTGTGCTTTCTTTCACGAAGCAACGACGATTTACACGATGTAACCAAGAGAGAACGAAAGTGACTGTTATTCGCAATTCTTCAATACGCATAAAAGCGTTCTTTTGTTATACCTTGAAGGCCATTGTTCTTCGAGTGAATTGGTAGATCTGTCGATCTGCTAGTTTGTGATGCGAATGATGCTATGGATGGATGTTTTTCGGCTTTTATACTCGACGGAACAGGGCCTACGGGGCAGCTGACGTAACCGGGTGACGGTTCTTTCGACGGTCAACCGATTCGCGGCCACGGAGCGATGCGAAATTGAGCAAGAAATCGGACCACGCCCAACACGACCAACCAGCAATGGTTGGATCATCAGCACCATGGAGGAACCATCGTCTCGTACTGGGCCGCGTCCTTGCTACGAGTTACTTAATTGTAACACGGACCTTTCTTTCGAATATCGCCTTTTTTCGACCTTGTCATTCGATCCGTTTATCGAAATATTTAATTACCAGTCTATCTGTCTACCTTTCTTTCTATTTTGATTCCATTTTCTAACCATCCATTATTTTTTTTATCTTCATAACATTTTTTACATTCTACTTTCTCCTTTGTACTATTCTTTCGGAGAAGCTTTGATGAAATGTTTATGCCTTTTGCAATTGCACTGATTGAAGTCTTTAGACATATGCTTTAGATGTAATATCTAGCTATGATCTATTCTATTAGATGAGTTAAGAGCAATAACTCTTTGATCATTTAGTTGATCTTAAATAATAAGATTTAAATTAGGATATTGTATTTCTTTAAGAGATTGAAGGCAGTATATTAGGATTACCGAAGTATATCCGGTATATAATTTGTCGTCGGTCAATAGTTTACAAACTTCCTTCTTCGACCTTGAGCACTGCCATACTTGGTGAAATCAAAGCCGACTGCTTTTGTTATTTTTTTTAATTAATACAAAATAAAAAAAAGCATAAGGCTATAGGACAAAGGACCCAATCGAACTGGATCCGGATCCATATATGGATATATTTTAGTACCTGTTACATATCGTTTTTTATGGACTTTTTTGAAATTTGATCAAATTCTTGATTATTCGTCACGATACTTGTAAGAGAAAAGAAACTCATGCATGTAATTCGATTTGACATACACGGATATAGAAAGAGCATAGTGTGATCTAGATGAATCTAGTTAAAGCTATATCACCGCATTAAAATTCAGATTTCGCTCGAGTTTCTTAAGTCTTCCTGGGCGTATTGCCATGACAAAAGACGTCGAACCAGCGAAATCTTGATTTTCGATCAGCACGATACAATTTCCGATGGCCGCAGGCTGTCAATCGATTGGGGCGTACCATCAATTCGGCAGCCCACCTATTTTTTCTTTATGAAAGTGCTCCACTTATTTCTGGTGGTCCCGCCTGGTGTAACGTTAGATATGACGTAACCGAAAAGATAGTTCGTTGTTCAGGACATATAGACTGACACGTTTCCTTCGAAACTTTCGCGACGCATCATCGTTCGCGATTTTTGATACGTGGCATTAAGCTTGAAACTTATGCGAAAGAAACAAAGAAAGGATATCCTTTCGATCTGTTTGCTGCCAAAATGATAAGAAATTGGAAAGAGATGATATAGTAACATATACACACACAGACACATAATATTATTTATTCTTATTTATTTTCACACTACTTCTGTGTAATTTTGACATATGTTATATATCATACGTGATTTTCCATATTAAATTAAGTAAACTATGTTAAAGACAATAAGATATACAGTAGAAAGTTACCATTTACATAATATAGCTCTAATCTTTTCATTTTAGATGCAGCTTCTATTTTGATATAAATTATGTCGAAATTTAAATTTATATAGGAATATTTTAATCTATATCAATTAATGATCGTTAGTGTAGTAAAAGATTTTACCTGTATCAAGACAATGATTGCTTTAATGCTCTTCATACTAATAATTACTTTATGCGCCTTAAGCTTGAAGCTATCAGTTTAAGGAGAAATAGACAAGATAAACTAAACAAGATCGTTATTGCTTTATTCCTTAGCAAAGAATCTTCGTCTGTTAGTAAATTTGACAAATTAGGAATACAAGTTAATGTCTTTAATATTTCTGAATGTTCTTCAAAGATTTCAAATTAACTATAAGTTTTTTTTTATTCCATTACAATACGTTTATTATTTACTTTCTAGTTGAAAGAAACTCAAATTAATTATTAATGATCATTGTTTCCACATAGGACATTATAAAATAATACTAATCTTAGAGATGCTTAGATTTTAAAGATCTTTTGATGTTTTTGAAAATAATTGACACAAATATATAGATCATATAAAATTGACACTGACCAAGTTCAAGTACGATCAGCTTTAGTCGCTATCAACTTTGTCGAACTTTCGAAGTCCAGTAAGCCAAATGTGATAGTGGGGGGAAAAAGTAACCGTGCGAACTCGAGTATATAAGCCAGCGAGGATCAACGTTGGACATCATCAGTCGCTTAGTCGATCCAAACAAACCAAGTCTATTCAACAATGGCCTTCAAGGTGGGTAAAGGATCGATACAGCTCTTATTTTACAAACATCTATTGCACAGTGCGCATCGGGTATCATGTCTCTAACATAAGCTAGAATGTTAGAGCAATATTTGTCTATGTAAAGTATTTCTAACGAATGATCTTTTTCCTTTCAGTTCGTAGTCCTCGCCGCCCTCGTGGCCGCCGCTAATGCCGGTATCATCCAATCTGGTCCTGTAGCTTATGCTGCGGCACCAGTAGCGGTGGCTCCAGTAGCTAAAGCTGTAGTAGCTAAGGCTGTTGATGCCGACTACGACCCACATCCCCAATACAGCTACGCTTACGACGTCCACGACAGCCTAACTGGAGATGCTAAGAGCCAACAGGAGACTCGTGATGGCGATGTCGTTCAGGGCAGCTACTCTCTTCTCGAAGCTGATGGCTCCAGACGCACCGTCGACTATACTGCAGATCCCGTAAATGGATTCAACGCCGTTGTACGCAAAGAACCCGCCACCGTTGCCGTCAAGGCCGTAGCAGCTGCTCCAGTAGCTCATGTCGCAACCCCAGTTGCTCACGTCGCAACCCCAGTCGCTCACGTCGCCCACGCCGCTCCTCTGGCCTATGCTGCGCCTGTAGCTAAATTTGCCGCAGCTCCTGTTGCCCACGCCGCTCCTCTCGCCTATGCCGCAGCCCCAGCATACGCTAAGATTTCAGCTGCTCCAGCCCTCAGCTACGCCGCAGCCCCAGCATACGCTAAGATTTCTGCTGCTCCAGCCCTCAGCTACGCCGCAGCTCCAGCCCTCAGCTACGCCGCAGCTCCAGCCTACGCCGCCCATGCCGCACCCATCGCCTACGCCGCACACCCTGCTCCTCTTGCCAAGCTCGCACCAGCCGTCTCTTATTCCGCTCCAACCTTCTCCTATGCTGCCCCTGCTCTCTACCACTAAGTCCATTCTTATCCCAACGCACCAAGTTGTTGTCAACTAAGGCCGAATCTTATTTATTTTTATTAGCAGACTACATGTGACTGATTAAATTGAGTTACTAATCTAATTTTTTTGACTTGTCTTGAAAACCCCCGATTTCTCTTTCTTTTTTTCCTTCTCTTTTTATTTTTAAATTAGTACATTCATATCATTATCACTGTGAGGGCAATGTACATATATCATTACGTCATAAAACTTGCTTGGATATTATTTATTATAAGTTACTCTGTTTTCTTGGTATTCTTGAAAAAGATAAAAAGTTAAGTTCTCCTTTACTATAAAATGATATCCATAGTTTGAGTTCTTTTTGACGATTGCCAGAATTGACCCACTTTCTCCGTTTTTTGACTGTTCTTTCTTGAATGCCTTCTGACACGTGAAAGATACACTCTGTAATCCAACATCGTTGATTCGTATTACGAACGTCTACCGACACGACAGCTTGAAAGGATCGTTTATCGCGTACGTGCTTCGATTCGAGGAAATCGTTGGTGCGTACCGTGAAATTATATATTATTTTAATGCAGTTAAGTTTTTAATCGTAACTTAGGTTGTTTCAGGATCTTGTTTAAAAAAAATTCGGGGAAAAATATGATGATTTAAATGAATATAATAAAGTAATGAACATTTTGATGTTGAGCAAATTTTATTTCATATGTAAGTATAGCTATAAAAAACAATTTTCCTTTAAATATTTCTTTTTATTGCATACAAATGACCAAGTCTTGATCATTATTCAAGTAAGTTATTTATATCATTTGGCCGGTTGGTTTTTTATATGTAATTTTCCTTGATCCTTTCTTCAGTTATCCTTGGCAGTATTTTATGATACTATCCGAGAACATAAGAGGACATAACAAATTTATGGGTTAAAGATTAATTTAAATAAAATGATAGGAAAATGAGAAATTTCACGTGGGCAGTTGTTGAAAACAATGTGGCTGATCGTTACTGATTGCACGGTCCGAATTCGTTAACGAGGGAGAAAGGAGTCCAAATTCCGGGACACGATTTAAAATATTATGCAATTGAAAGGAAACGGAGTGCACTCGTAATTTTTGGAAGTACATATATACATATGCATGAGGTGTGCGACTATAGATATGTGCGTGTATGTAGGCGGATTACAAAGTTGAACAAAATTAAAGACGATCGAGAAAGAGTGATTTATAAATTTGTCATTCATATTAGTTCTTATCACAGTTTATATATTGTCAGAATACATTCACGCTTTTATCATTATCATTATTTTAATCTAGGTCAGACTTTATATGTTATTCAACGTTAGACTATGTTCTTTGTTCTTTTTTCTTTTCATAGTACATGTAGGTATTTATTTCAAACTGTTAGATTGAAAATTGAATATGCATTTAACCATATAATATCGTGAATTTTGAATAAAATATAAATAGTTAAAACAAAAAGAAAAACTAATGAAAAGTATCTCCCCGAATACGGTTTTATATAATAATTAAAGTCGATAAAGAAATCCACAGCCTTCAGCTGTCATTTTGTTGATTTGGTCGAATTCTTTAGACTTCCAAAGCGGTCTACCAAAAAGTGAACCGGTTTCTTGAATGGTCTGTATATATGTATATATAGATACGTAATACGGGGCGCGATTACGAGAAGGTACATAGTGACATTGGGCGCGGTTCTTCGATGGTCGCGGCTGCAGCCCTGGTTTATTTGGTGAAAGTCGAAACCTTACATATATATTGTTTTTTTTTTCTTTCTTTCTCACTTTAATCGTGCCTCTCGTCGCACGCGAGCCTCTCACTTCGTCTGCCACCTTTTATCGTGCTCCGTTTTTTATTTTGACCATATCGGACGAATTTACAGAGCAATCATGAGTTACGTAGCATGGTAATTGCAGGTGGATTATATAATACTTCGTTGCCCTTCAACTTCGCAGACGTATTCTTTTTTTCTTTCATGTCCTTGCAAGGTATTATTCTTTCATTTAGAAAAGAACATAACTACATAAAATTATTATTTAATCCTTGTGTCAGATTAAAAACTTTCTTATCATTTAATGCTAAAATAAAAATTATGGATTTCAATTAATGAATATCAAATCAAACGAAACAAATATATCATTACTTTGTAGATTCAACATAAAACATTGTCATACATTGCAATTCTTCAAGAACGTCAAGTCGAAAGCGGTAATCGTAAAGATATGTTCGAGTATCAACTTGTTCTATCTACTTGCTACTGCGTCTGATCAATGTTGATATTCACTACTTACTTCGAACGAACAGCCACATCTCTTTCAGTGTATAATGTTATTTAAAGAAATTGAACAATACTATTTCATAGTAGATATTCCTTTTTAATCATGTATATAAATATAATTAACAATATCATTACGATGAATTTGTAAGTAAAATTTTTATTTCTAAGAATCAATTCAATTATTAGAATTATTGTTATAACTAAAAGATAATTTTAAAAGGAGATCGCCTGTATTTTTGATTTTATTACGCATTTGCCACGCAATAAATAGTACTTGTCTAGCATAAGTTCGTTACGCGGTCAGCATGCGTAGTCGAAGGTCGAGGGGTATTACGATGTTCGCATACTTGCTCGCATACGCACATTGTTTGTTGCGTAAAAAACGTATACGCGTCGACATAACACTTTTTGCGTAACGGTAAACGACGATGAATTGACTTCATGGATGAACGTGACAAGCCATCGATCTATCCATCGGTGACATTGATCGCCGCGCTTTTACTTTATTACACCCACACTTGATCATGTATTGCGGGTGCATCATGCACAAAATTATGTCGATATAGATGAGTTGATTTTTTTTCACTTGCAATGCTACTCGATTGTTTTCAAGAGGTCATGAAAGTTCGATAGATTATTTGCGAGTATTTTACTTTTTGGGAAGAGTAAAATACAAAACTAATAATTATAATAATGATTAAAATTACAGTTACTATTTATTATTTATATATATCATTGAAAAATAGTACTATCTGAACATATATATATGTACATTATAATAGATTATGATATAAGAAATTTTACATATACAACATTGATCATTAATCATTTTCACGTAATACAATGTAAGGATAATCGAAATCAATATGCAACGTTATTTTAAGTGTCAATGGATATACTATATTATATTATGGACGAACAATTTAGATTTAACGACTAGTGAAAACAAGACTCTTATTTTTTCGTTTCGTGCATATTTTCATGAAATAAGAAATAAGAAAACATGTTAAGAAAGTTGCTCGATTTCACCAAAAAAGAAATGAACATTATCCAACACAATTTCAGATCTTGTTTGATATATAAACGAATATATCATAAAAAAAAGGTTGGGCTTTTGTTGATGCAAAGTTTGTATCGTTGACAAAATTTCATTTGTGTGAGGCATAAAAGAAAAGAATTAATTTCAGAAGATTACAAGTGATTTATTAAAATCTTAATAATAACATATCATTCGATGGACAAGTCGTGTAAAAATTGAGATTAGGCGGTATATGTTTTAGAGGAGTGCAGGTGCATAGGTTAAACTGGCAAGGGGTGCTGCATAGGCAAACGGCGAAGAGTATGCTGCCGTATAAGCAGAGTAGGTAGGATAAGAAGCAACAGCTCTTGCCGCCGGTAATTGGACTAATCCTCGTTGAATATTCTCTGTCTGCCCTAATCGGAACTGAACCGGACTGGCGAGAGCTCTAACTGGTGTAGATCTCTGTTCCTGCTGTTCTTGCTGTTCCTTCTGTTGTTGTTCCTCCTGCTGATCATCTTGTTGGTCTTGTACTTGTTGTTGCTGTTGCCTGACTTGCTGTTGAATTTGACGGCGCGTTTGTTCTTGCTGTTCCTGTATCTGTCTGAGCTGCTCCAACTGTTGTTGCTGCTGTTCCTGCTGACGTTGTTGTTGCTGGCGTATCTGTTCAAGTTGCTGTTGCCTTTGCTGTTTCTGAATTTCGAAATCTCGAGGAGCCGGAGCATTCTTCAGAGGTCCTGTTCTAGCTTCGACAACTTCAACGTCCGAATCCGGACCAGTCGCAGGAATAGTCGGTGTAGGTAAAGGTGCAGCTGCCACAGCAGGTGATACAGCGGGTCTATAGGGTACGAAAGGTGCTGCGATAGCAGCCAAAGCAGTTACAGGTTCCCTGCTAACGACGGCATTGAATCCGTTTACAGGATCAGCCGTGTATTCGACGATACGCCGAGTTCCGTCAGCTTCGATCAAACTGTAGCTTCCCTGAACGATATCACCGTTTCTCGTTTCGTATTGAGCCTTTGAATCACCCGTCAAAGTGTCTTGGACGTCATAGGCAAAGCTATACTGTGGTGTTGCATCAAATTCTTCCAGTCTTGCCGCAGGAACAGCTGCTACAGCTGGTATAGCTGCTGGTACCAGCGCGCATTGCCCGAACACCGCCAACCCCAAAAATACGACGAACTGAAAAAGAAGAAGTAAGAGTAAGGTGTATTCCTCTACTGATATAAGACAGAAATTTGGATCATATTAAGATCTAACGTTTATTTATATTATTATACATATTAATAATGTAAATAAATCAAGATTTAAGAGTTTTTATCCCTTTTCTGTTTTTGGTCAGGATCAAAGAATTTCTTCGATTCGAGAACGTTTCTTCTCTTACTTACCTTGCCAGCCATGTTTGTTCACAAGAGGATCGGCAGAAGACTGATGCCTCAGGGTAAAATCAGTGGCACTTTTATACGTCTCGATTGCGGCTCGCGTTTTCGTGCCATCCGTAGACAATAAGCCGCGAGAATTTCTTGCACCCAAAGTCGCGACACGTCAAAGCACCCGCCTTTGCCGCCCCCACCTAATCTCTCGGTAGTATTTTCTTTCTTCTTTTTTTACTCAACGACCTTCTCATAATCGTTGCGATACAACCTGGGCTTGTCCAGGACACGATGCGCACGTGTACTAACAAGCACAATGAGTATGCGCGCTTATGTTTCTTCATAACGAATCGTGCCGCATACACGCGACCTGTATGTCAATACGCCAATGACCAGGAACGTTCCTTGTACACCGAGGTCGTTTGACGAAAGCAACTCCTTTGAGTTGCACTTCAGCGTACTGCCCAGGCGCCAATCTTTAGCGATCATTGGGGTTGCTCGCCTCAATTTAAAAAGATCGATGATCGAGCTAAGTCTCTTTTATTCGTTCTACAACTTCAGTTTTCTATCCCATTGCTATTTTTATCTTTGACTGTCTAAAAACGTTGCAATGTTCACATATTTATGTATAACCTTTAAATAAAAAATTACATATTCCGTATAGTATTACCATAGAAGAGTGCGTCAAGATATGGCGATTATTGTTTTCATATAACACAATCCTTCGTAAAATAATATAAAATGTAGACATTTCTCGCGTTTAAAAATTAAATTTGTTTTAATTGAACATTACATTTTTTCTTCATCGCTACTGATTTATTCTGTTTTGTAATTGTTTTTTTGATTTTTTATTTTTGATCACTATGTTACAAAGAATAGTATGCAGAAAAATATTTTTTCCAGATTTATATCTAATACATATATTCTCATGAACAAATTGTAAATTATTTCGAGAAAAATTAAAAAATAATCGTCATCAAGATTTTCTATAACGCGTCCATCGCAAATTCATTTAACGCGTGATGTATTAACAGCATTATACAGGATTCTACAATATAATATGAATCAGTACCAAATAATATACTTTTATATCTGAAGCTACTTTGGTAAAACTAATTTCTGTAAAATATTTATTATTTTTTTGACTTTTTATTCGAATTCTTTTGTAAGTTTTTGTAAGAAATTATTAAGAATCACTTGATATATCACTACGTGGATACCTACTTTCATTATTTAAAACAAGGATCAAGAATTAATTGTCGCTAGTTTCTTACTAACTGACACATCGCGTATAATTCTCAATTCTACGTACGTTTCTCCGAGTACTCTCAAATTTTCTTTACGAAACAATGACGGATTGTTGATAGTTTTTCGTCGAACGATTTTCTTTGTAAAATATGCTGGCAAGATAACAGAAAACAAACGATAATTTATAACGCAATAATTCGCATCGTTTTCGATTTAGAAAAGTAGGTAATTGCCACAGGTAGTTTCACATTAACATGGTTCCAACGTTAACAATTTTTAATTAACTCTTTGTTACGTCGTATATCAATGCACATAGTTAATCTCTTATAGATCGATAGGTGAATATTAATTACACATTCGATTTTGTATACACTTCATTCGATTGTTGACATACAAATTTTGTAAAGGCGTAATTTTTCTTCAATATTATTTCTATTTTCAATTAATTAATAATACATGGAAAAAGGAAAGTCCTCAAAATATGTCAATCTTCTTTAAATTAATTTTTTTTCGTTTACGAGGAATATTCCAAACGCAGCTGTAATTATTTAAATGTTATCGAATCAAGGAAATTAACAAGGCACATGTGTTATAATAAAATATTTTTATTATCCATACAAAATGTCAATTAAAATAATTAGTTATTTACAATGCTACCACATTTCTCATTACCGACGAGCAGTTTTAATTCTCTTAGTTTCTAATAAAAACCATATAAATTTTCGTACAAAGAAGATCACGATGATTCGTGGCAAGCATTCGCAATATATATCGCAAATTTTGTATCTTCGTTATATTACACGAAGAAAATATTAGCCAAAGAAAAATGCAGAGTCAAGCGTGACTAATCGTATAGAGAAATAATGGAATCAGTTATATTTATATTTTTTTGTCTAGGATAGATAATCCGTCAATGACGGTAAGCAATTGGAGCAACTGGAGCAACGGGAACTATTGGTTTGATAAGGGCTACAGGTTCCCTATGGACGACAGCGTTGAATCCATTAATTGGATCAGCTGTGTATTCGACGACTCGTCTGGTACCATCAGCTTCGATCAAACTATAACTGCCACTAACAACATCGCCATTTCTGCTTTCGTGTTGACTCTTCGAATCACCCGTCAAGCTGTCGCTTACATCGTAAGCGTAGGTGTATTGTGGATGAGGATCGTAATCCGTTGCTGGAGCTACAGCAGCAACAGGTAATGGAATAGTTCCGCCGTGACATAGAACGAACGTTCCAGCTGCCATAATGACGAGGATCGACTGAAAAAGAAGAATATTGTTTATATCTTTCTTTCAATATATTAGATCTTTATTGTATTTACGATTAATGTCAAATAAGTAGAATCATATTGAGCACTATGCAATAATATTAAATGGATGAAAAGTAACAAGGCTATCGTTTCTCCTTGTGTAATGTATGCAAGGCGCGTTGTTTTTGAAAGCGAATTGGTTCGAATACGAAAAGGGCGAAAGTTTCACATCGCTTCACAAGCATTTCCCAAAGTGAGTTGCGACACAAGTGATTGGAGTGTGATGTGATCGCGCGTGATTGTCGACTAATAAAATCGATCGGTGATATATAATCTGTAATTTTATTAAAACAATGTGCTATCTTGTAACAGTGTACATAATATTATATTGATAAATCATATTTCTAATGTAATTTCATCGATTTTTGAAATACTTTCTTCTATTGATTTATGAGATATTTCACTTTTTTTTCAATTTGAAACAATTTTTTTAGATTTTAGCTTGAAAATAAAACAAAAAATACGAATAGGATTAAAATTATTTTAGTTTTATTGTCGATCCTTATATTTTTGTAATTAATTTACTTTATACAAAAAATGTTTAACGCTCAAAAGTTTATTACTTTAATATTTCATCTAATCGCATATTCTCACCTTAATAGCCATGTTTATTTTTCTTGAGTGTAATCCTATGATTTCACAGATGTGCTTAGAGAGACTGACGTTCAACCAAGCAGTGACAATCGTATTTATAGGAACGACGGGGTGGTCATTCGTGAAACGTGTATCGCATCCCTCGTTGCATTGCAAACAGTTTGAAATGAGAATACGTGACGTGTATTGTATGAGACAGGAAAAGTTTCGCTCTCATTTTGAATTATTGTCATATCCTCGAATGGCTATATTATAGAACTTTATATACTATATAAGAACTTTTATCTAAGAAAGAAAAATCTTTAGTCCGTAAATCAACCAAAAATAAAGAAAATTAATAAAAAAATTCAATTTTGCATTGAAAATTGCGAAATTGTTCACCCTCACATTTTCAATCGGCATTCTTTCTTGTAAACGATATAGTTATATACAGCATTCATTCATTTTTTATTAAAATTACAAGTAAAATTAAATATTTAATAATAAAATGGTCAATAATTTTTCTGTACAACAGTATTGCTTTCGCCATTGCGTAATTCGGTGGTTTTGGTCACAGCTGCAAGTGTAACACTTCCGCTATGTTAAGTTGGCCCGCACGAAGAATACTAAGCGCACACACGATTTATCGTGAAACACTTGCATTTTTATTGTAAGATTATAAAGTGTATTTTACAGTTACATTAATTTCAACATACAACTTGATCACAATTTCTTTTTTACTGCTGGTCTAATATTTTTAAATAAGCATACAAATTGTAATATTTATTATATTTATTAATTAAAATGATTAAAATTTATAAATCATTAATTCTTAGATATCTACAAAAAAAAATTTTTCAACATTAAGCAAAATTTAAATTTATACATTTGCAAAAAAGCTTATTAATCACAGTAATTTTTTGTTAACAAATTTTACAAAATATAATATGCAATGTCTGAAAAAAGACGTCATTCAGGGATTTCTTACAAGTGTAACATTCTTCGTGCATGTATTAAAATTATCTTTCATTAGGGGCAGTTTGTAATTAAAACTTTGTATAATGTGCGATAGATGGCGTTGATAATTTATCGGCCGAACTGAAAAGCGCGCGAAATTTTTAATATGATTATGTTATTACACGTGGCAGTATAACATAAAATATATAAAATTATAAATAATCTATAATACATCTCATTTGTGTATAATTTAATTTTTATACAAATTATAAGTTTAACCTAAGAATAGAATACATTATTTCTACATAATAATTATAATAATTATTCAGAATTTTCTCTAATAAGAATAAAATATGCAATAGCAAAATCGGATTTAAAATTTTTTAAATTAAAATAACAAAGTTCGTATGTCAATTATTAATTATAGATTAGGGCCATGTAATTTTTTGCCTTTTCCTTGTAGGTGCCAAAGTTGACTCCTATAATGCAAGAATAATAATTTTAATGACATAATAAAAAGATGTTAATAGAATAAATATATATATACATATATACATGAATGCTATTAATAATGCATAAATATAATGAATATATGTATATATATTTATATCAAAACATACTTCATTTTCTTCTTTAATGTCATGCTTGTTAATTCCATTAGGATCAGTTTCTATTTGTGAAATAGGAGATAAACGAATTTTTTTCAATACTGATTTAGTTTCATGCGTTGATGATTTTGATTCTATTAAATTTCCCTGAGGTACTCTTCTTCTTTTTTCACATAAGTTTGTAAAGCTTATACTGTCATGTTTATCAGAAACCCTAAAAAATAAATTTATAAATTAATAATATAATATTAAATTTTCGACAAATATATAAATAATACTTACTGTATTGTTATATTGTTGTCACACGACTCTAACATAGGCTTTTGATTTAAATTATATTTATTTAATTCTTTACAATTTTTGTTTCCAGTTTGTCTTTGGGGTAATGGCATAGCAATTCGTTTGTATAACTCCATCAATTCAATTTTAGATAATTTTTCTAAATTTGTTATTTCAATGCATCTCTATATAAGCAAGATAAAAGTATATTATTAATTAGAAATGTTATACTATATAGAAAAATAGATATACATATTTTGAAGTCAAGTTAATGTTGATATGCTACTCACATTTTTTAATATTTGACAGAGTTCATATTCTGATAAAAGTTCTGGTTTAATTAATCGATGTGAATCTATTATTGACATTATTACTTATTTACATAAAAAAAACTATCTATATTACATTAAAATACTTAATTGTACTAAAATAAAGCACTATTACTTAGAGTTATCCAATTCCCATTGTTTACTCTAATAATTTTTATCAATTGTATAAAGGTACTGATAATTATTATTTATTTAAAACAAAAATGTGTATATACATTCAGTATCTCTCTCTTTTAGTATTATTAAAAAAATTAAGAGTACATAACCTAGAACTTTATATTGGATAAAAATTATAAGAAAATTTCATGTTTATTTTTTAATCGCGCTATTTTAACCAATTCAAATTCTTTTTAATCTTATAGCTCATTTTCTCACGTTTGCACATTATATATAATAACACACAGAAATAACCAAACAGTAAAATTGAATCAAGTTCACTATCGCGTGACGATAGAGTCTTGAAACTGTAATCTATCTTTATTCGATATATGACATATATAAAAATATTTATCTATAGCACAAATAAAATAATAAATAATTATGTTCAAATGGATAAAGTAAAGATTATCAGCGTATTAATAATTCGTAACATTTAAAATAATAAAACGTATTTAATTTATATATAATATATTTTATCAAATAAATATGTTAAATGTAGTATATTAGAATTAAAAATCACAAAGCAATGTTTTCTAAAACTAACTTTATTCATGTCATTATTTAATCAATCAGTATTGTATTCAATATGATACGTTTTTTCTTCCATATTTTATTATTCACATATTTATTACCTAACTATAAAATGAAAATAAGTACATATACAAAACTATAACAACAATGGAAAACAGTAAACAACAAAGATACATAACATATAACTGTAATACATTGACAGAGTGGCTTTTTTATATATAAATTATATGCAAAGTACATTAGGTTTGTATCGTCCTTTCATGAATAACATATATCGTTGAAAGGAAAATTTGTATTTTTTGTAGAATAAATTCATTCGTTTCGTTAGAAGAAATATGCAGGTATACTTTATGTGTACGACAAAACGATGTCATTTTATGCAATGATTAAACTGGCAATAGATTTCTGGAATAGAATGTGTTCAGAACTATGTTTTTATATATAAAAAGTCTTCTTAAAGTATGTATTACAACCTTAGCTGTGCATGATTTCGATATCAACGACTTTTGAAACTGTTAATGCAGATTTATAAAGACTAGATGATACTGTCTCTGATATAACTTTTATTTTGTTTTTCATTGCTGAAATCGTTTCAACATCGAAACCTGAGATTTCCATTTTAAACTCCAGAAAAAATGCTGCAGTTTTATTTTTTATTAAAATTATTTTTTAATTGTGGCTTGTTCTTTAAAGCAGTTATTTGAGACTTTCTTATTTGACATACATTGGTAAATAGTAAAACATTTATCTCTCTTCTTCTGTACAGTTGGCCTTATTATCGTTTCATCCATAATAACTAATTTTAATGATAGATTATGATCACAAAATGAAATGAATAAGTCTTTTATACTGATAATTTATACTGAAAATTTGATCAACATGATCTTAATATTATTATAGTATCTCTGATAATTTCACATTATTAACATCATAAGTTACAGGCAATGATTTGCCCATATTAGCAATATGTCGGTATAAAGGTTTAGACATTTGCAATGTTCCACTTCGTAATATTCGTACGCATTTATGGCGTAACTTCATTTATCTCTCCAATCATGAATGTATTATTCAACAAGATTGTGACCCTTTTTTCTCATACATGATATATAGTATTATTGGAAAATTTCTATTTAAAAAATATTGAATAAATATATAACGATTTTATACAATTGTACTGTATATACTTTTCATTCCGAAATTAAAAATTAAAGTGGAAGTAAAAAGGCACTATTTTTGGGTATAGAAAGCAATCCTCTTCATAGGCCTCTCTATCTTCTATCAGTTAGACTGTAATTTAATATCTCATGTTATAGAAGTTACGCCGTTACAATCGAACAACGCTCATTCTATTTTATTTTTGAAATCGTAATCATTACGTAATGAATGTTATATAATTAAATAAAAATATATAAATAAATTATGAGCGTTAATCCTTATAACAAAAATTTCATAATACCTTATAATACACTGGAAGCATAAAGTAATCTTACTTGTATATCTTATTATAAATTATAATAGAATTATTATGCTCTGTAAACAATTACTTTTTTATTATCACTTAATAAATTTGGTTAATTGTGAAACAAATTAAAGATTAGCAAGAGAATGTTCAATTGTTCCACGCACAGCACATCATTCCATGAAGATTATGATGAATATTGTCTCATCATAACTGCATTACATAAAAAGACCAATATATCATATTGACTGTCGAGGATGACATCAATTTAACAATCATTAAACAGGTGTTTCATGATCAGTCTCTTCAATTCTTCCCAATCTCCAAGCATTTGGATCACCTGCTGCTGTAAATTTATAATAATATTTCAAATTATATGAAATAGAAATAAAAGACTTGGACTAAATACATATCACATACAAATTTTAAATTTACTTTCGTAAAATGAATCTCAAACATTAATTGATTGATATAAATAATAAATAAAAGTCACTTATTAAATTAACACATTACCTATAGTAAATAATTGTTCTTTTATAGTACTTTTTCAGATATTTTAATAAATAAAAAAATAAATATTATCTCAGAGAATTACTCGAAGTAAATAAAATTAAGCCTAAGTGGTTATTGCATGTTTCGCAAGCTTTATCGAACACTGATAATAATGTACACATATGCACATAATTTTAAATCAACATTAATAATATCGTTTATGATATTTTTCCACCTAATGTGTCTGAATTAACAAAATTAATTGAAAAAGAATTTATATTTTTAGCTATTTTCTATAAATATTTAATACTACATATGTGCCCATAATTATGAAAGTGGTCTAAGTCATATATCTCTCGTTTCGAAATATTTAAAGGATTACATTTGAACATTAAATGAATTCTATATAATATTGAAATAACAAACACTATCTAACGGTTCATTTTTGACAATATCGCGAAAATTACATTGAATTAATTTAGTTTAAAATAATGTGGTGTGAAATAACTAATAAACTCATTTTTTTTAATTTTGACAATTAGACCACTTTCATAATTATGGGCACATATAAGCTGCTAAAATGAATCAATACTAATATATAAACACACACACTAAAATAATTAATAATTATTTTCTTAGATCTAAATTTAAAAAAAGAAACAATAAGACAGATGCTTAAGAGGGACCTACCTGCATACAATAATCAGGAGAAAAGAACAAATGAAGTCATTCTGTCAGAATCATGTGAGATGTGTATGCTCATTTCAAAAACATAATATATGCAATGCAAACAAACGTGCTAAATAGAGGCACAGTTTGTATGCAAAATCACATTATAAGGAAGACTGAACGTTGTTTTGCACAGGATTTAAAGGACATATATAAGGCACGCACAGATGATTTGTATGATGTAAGGCATTGTGTAGTACTTCTTGGCTCATGTACAACAGCGGCATTCTCTCTTCTATCCAAAGCAAAATCAAAATTGATGCAAAATTAAAAAATTGAGTAAATAACAATAAATGCAGGTAATAAATATTTTGCCTAACTATTAGTTAATCATTTAAATGAATTTTACAGTGTTCCCTTCATACAGAAAATTTGATACAAATTTGTCAACCTTTCATGTTAAAAAAGATAAGTTTTTATAAGATATAAAGCAATATAATATAAGAACAAAGTACTAATAAAAATACTAATAAAAAGTATTTTACTATTAAAAAGAGGATGCGTATAAGATATGCAGAGAAAATCAACCATAATCATCGGTTAAAAGGGAAAACACATTAACATGCATATTGACATGCTATATAGAAGTCATATCAAATTAAGTGTATAACACTTGTGTGGAAGTATTTATAATACAATGGAATTTAAAATATATACTAAAAAATAAATTATATTAAACATTTACTATAATGTTTACTACTAAGAACACTGATTATGCTTAATATAAATTAACACTAACCTTTTACAAAAAGTTAGTTAAAATAAAAATAAAAGTAAAAGCATCATTAAGCACCTAAATATATGTATATAATTTTTTGTCATAAAGGATCCTGTTATTTTTGTTTGGAAATTCATTCTATTTTAACATTACGTTAAATCCTGAGTTAAAAAGGATTAATATTGCTCATAAACCATTGAGTCTCATTAAAAAATAAACTGTTTCTTTAACACATAAACATGCTTCTACATAATTTTAATCAATTTTACCTTGAAGTTGACGACTGATAAGAGCAGTAATCCCCTGACTATCACCCGTTTTTTTAACGACAAATAGCTTAGTATCTGGATCATTTTCTAACGTCCCTATGCTGCCAAGACCAATAACTTGTCCATTTTGTTGCTGATGACTGCTAGCAGCCATTGTTTCACTAACCTGCATTATAATTATAATGTATGTTATTATTACATCTTAAATAAACGTAGACATTTATCTATTTTTTAGTTATTTTAATTGTTTTTTATTAATAATATGAGAAGATGATGAAAGAATTACCTGCATCAACTTTTTAACTACATCTCTACCCAGGATATGATCAAAAACTGCCTGCAGGAATTGATCACTAATAATGCTTAACTTTAACTTATCTCTGTGCCATAATAATATCCTTGATTCTTCCATGGCTGTTATAGATACCTAAAGAATAAAATGGTAATTAGTTTATGTATTCTATACATCATATGTAAAATCAAATAGAAATACCTGGAAATATTCATCTGTAGATACACCAAACCATTCTGGAGAATCCAGGAACTGATGTGGGAAGACAATATGCAATGCTCTTCCATTCTGTGATACAACTAATCTATAGCGAAACAAAAACAAATCATCATCTTTACTTGTACAATCCTAATTATAATTTAAATTGTAATGTTATTTGTATCAAATTCATTTTTGTTTGTTCAGTTCTCAAAGATGAAAAATTAAATACTCACTTTCCTGATAACACCAATGATAAGGAGTCAACTTTTGTTACTTTCTCTTGAGCGTAAACTTCTTGATATTTTAATTGTCTGATGATCTTCATACAATTTAAAACTTTTTTGAATTGATGACGAGATACTCTCAAAGGCTGGAATACAGCAATATATACCTGTATATCAAAAACTAAGTATAAGACATTTTTTGTATATATGGAATAAAATTCTTATGTAACAGTTTTAAAGGATCATTAATAAATTTTTAATAAGTACTATAACTTAATTGAAACTTATCTATATCAAATTTATTAAAAATTGCCATGTTATACTCCTAAAATCGGTATAAAACTAATAAATTTAAAAATGTTTACAGAATTTAAAAAAATAAAATGTATAGCATGCTTTATATACTATATTTAGGTAACAATAGCTAAAATATTAATAATGGCTATAATTGATTATGAACTACATTTCTTAGCTCTGTTAAGAGCTATCTCTATATCATAATAAATATTTAATTTTTCCAACTGTTTTCAAAACTTAGTTTAATTAGATCAAGATCATTATCACTAAATAAATGATAAAATTAATTAAATGTATTCTTTACACATTAGAAAATATTTCGAAAAAAGTTCTGATCAGTTGGAATTTCCAAATGCACATTTGACAGAAGTTTCCACATTACAATCTACAACTATGCATTCCTTAACAAAAGTCTAATCACTAATAAATTTATTGTTATGCAAAGCATAACTATACATCATTTTCAAACATATTTTAAGCTATGCAATACAATACATATCAATCTACTTTTTGTTTTATATAATATAAATATATATATACTTTTGATACATGTTTAGATAACTACATATATATTTGACAAATAAAAGAAATATTATAAAAACTTGATTATGTAATAGTATGAAATAATATGAAGCATCTTATATACAAAATGTAACATTTTCCAAATCTTAATAAATAACTTTATCAATTTCTAATAAACAGTTGTCAATTTATATACTTTTAAAACAAATCTGAATATGGGAGTTTATTAAAAATCAAATACGTATTTTCTCCGCTTAAACGATATGTTCTCCTATGCCCAGATCTGTGTTAGGATACTGCATAAATATTAAATGTGCAAAATAAAATATTGTAACATTGCTCTAAGTCATTATAGCTTCTCTATTGTTTTTTACTTACCTCTTCAACTTCCCTTGAAAACTTGATAGGCCTGAGTTTGTAAAGAAGCGTGCATACATGGACGAAGTTGATGACAACAAAGAGAGCATTCCAGAGCACGACGTCCAGCCAGCAAGCTATTGTCCAGCCCCACAAAGCAAGAAAGGCACAGCCCACGAGCAGAGTGCACCTTAAATAGAGGACACCATGTATGCCACTTGGTGCAAGGTGTGACAATAGGAAGAAGACATTTGCTAATTGAAAATAGACATGGTTCACATAAATTCCTTGATAGGGTTGGCAGGTAAGAACTCCGTGGAGAAAGGTTGGAGGCACTGTTGGCGAATGAGGGTGGCCAGTTCCATGGCTGACCACTGACAGTCCAGAACCTATGAAATATTAATAAAAGAAACTGTCCCAAGAAAGTAGTGAATAGTATTTGTGAAATTTAAGAAGTTAGATATGATGAAGAAATATAAAGTGTTTTTAACAAAGTGACCTTAGAAAAATTTGAAAACATTACAAAAGAAATAAAACTAGAATTATCTATTCTACGTCAAACTACAATGTCATAAAATTTATGTATGTACATTGTTATTTGTATTCATGTGTATATACCACAAAAGCAAAGCAAAACTGTACAAAATTGAGATGTACACTAATGAAGATGTATACGTACCTGCTCTATCATCAGTGGTCACATTCCTACATTCGTCATTCTCATGATGCGTAACAGTTGGTGATGATATATCTGACGTAACAGTGTTATGAGGTATATTTGATGTATCTGCATTTGTCAAACTAGCATCAACACTGTTAGAAATTGAATATAGAAGTATAAGGAATGAAATGGAAGCACCCAAGCCTTCTCGGCTTCCTATTAAATCAAAACAGATCCACATCCCCGCATTACCACCAAATTATCCAATTTCGTTTCAGTCTGTATAAAAATAATTTTGTCAATTTTGTTAGTCATTATAGAGTAACAAAGAAAACCAATACTTGAAGCTACTTCCAACGTGTTATTATCTAGATAGTACAGTTAACTATTGAGATATTAATTAATGAATAGAAATTATATTTCATACTTATTCATAAACGATGTAACAGTGAATTCTCTGTGCCATTTGTGAATATGTAATGTTTGTTTATGTGTCTACATTACTCTCAGCTAAAGTTAGAACTTGAAGATGAAAACCACCTTGTAGGCTTCAGGTCAAGAAAGGATATTTGCATTACAAACAACTGCGGGAAGACAATGTCAACATCTGTAATGTAAATCAACAATATATTTATTGCAATTACCGTGCACAAAGAAGTATAGATCATTACTATAATCATTCATTAGATATATTAATTTTTTAAATATTAACTTCCAACTTCACAGTAAATTTATAATATTGTAATATATTATATTATTTTAAAAATTATAATTAATTTTCTAAAAACTACCGATTATTAATTATAAAATATAGTATTATTAAAAGTGTTTACACTGCACAAATTAACTGATAATATTTAATAAAAAAATACAGAGGTTAGATCAAATTCAACTTCTGTTATATATGATTATATTTAAAATTTTGTAATATATCTACTATTATGAATATTATATACACTATAGTTTTAACGTTTGAATCAAAAGCTTTATTTAGTATACACATGAATGAGTGTATGAAAAAAAACCTGTAAGCTCGACAAAATTTCGTAACTTATTTTGGAATATAAACAATTATGCTTTACAGAATGTATTGATGATAAAAATAATTTCAAGATTGTTTATATAGTAATTAAAATTGTACAACTCGTTATTACTAAAATTATTGAGAAGTTCACAAAATATAGAACACTTTTAAGAAAAAACTAAGCTTGAATTTAATAGTAAATAAAATATGTTGATCATTTTTTATTGTTCAATTTTTCATTTGAATTCAAAATCTAACGATCAAAATATATTTTTTTGGTACTGTATGTTTACGAGATTGAGAATATTGACGCATGTTATTAAGTATCGTGTGTATTGAAATCAATAAATAACTTACTCATGGAAGATTTAAAATGATGTGGTCTTACGCAAGGCATACGAATAAATAATTAAATATAAATTTCAAATATTTCCTTATGATTGCTAGAATTATTTGAACTCGGTACACGAAACAAATTCACTTATCCAATAAACGTCAAAGTAGCAGAAAGACGTTACTGTAGCAGGGACAAGTAAAATGATGATAAAGCACAAGAGGGGATTAAATAGGCCACGCTACAACTAATGAGATACGTTCGAAAATGTACCACCTATAAACAAGAAAAATACTCGCTAATATTCGACGTATTTCTATGAAATCGCTTATAGGTAAAGAAAAATCGTTGATTGGCGTTTTCTTATTATCTTTCTATTTAATTTTAAGGTTTGTTTCAATTTTATTTTGTCTAGTATCCGCTAAGTGGCAGCACAATACAATTGCTATGCGAGAAAGGATCTACAATGCTTGATATCATTGACAGAATTTGGAGGTTGTTTTAAATAACATTTTGAAGGTGCATTTGAAACTTTTAATTCCATTTATATATCTATGCATGGTATCCGAATATTAGTATATATGTATTGATAACAGAAGCCGATAAAATGACTACGGAAAAAGATTTAGTAAATGGTATGCATTAGAAATTGGAAGCACTCTGTACCACTATGTATATAATTTTAAAAATATCTTTTGCATACATTACTATACATAAAACATAATTGTTAAGTATTTTGTTATGTTTCTTTAGCGGTAAGAGAATCTTTGGAAGCTGGTGGAGAACTTGGTCGTATAAGGGCTGAAATGCGAACTGAAGTTTTCAAATTATTAGATAATTCCAATTCAGAAAGTAAATTACAAAATTCGAAACAATCTTCTGATATTGTTATCTTTAACGAGCTTGTTCGTGAATATCTAGATTGGATGGGATTTAAATATAGTTCAACCGTATTTGTTTCAGGTAGAAAAAATGTTAAATTATATAATTTAATTTATATTTTAGGAAATACAATGTTTAATCTACATTAATATTTTCATTGAAGAATGTGATCTTTCAAAACATCCTTATGATCGAACGTTACTAGCACAAACTTTGGGAATAAAGGAAACTGATACAAGTAAAAAGTTGCCCTTGCTTTGTGGAATAATAGATACATTAAAGCATATGAAAAATACATGAAAACATTTATATACATGTATTGATGAAGTATGCCTAGTAGGCACATTTATTTTTGTATCGCATTTGTAGAATTTATATATGAATTGAACATTAGTATTTGTTAATAATATATAGAAATAAATTATAAGAATGTTATTCATTTTAATTCATTCAAAATTTAAATTTAAAATGATTTACTTAATATTGCATTATTCGAAATAAGTAGTATTGATTAAGGTAGAAATACTTATATAATTTTAATTTTTTTCATTGTTTTTGTATTTATAAAAACTCCAACACTTTGCTTACTTCATAACTTGTATTTATTTACTTCTTAAATTGTATTTTGTGTTGTACTGATTAAATTTTTTTTTTTTCTATTTTTAAGTATATTATTATTTCTAATGAGAGTACATAATCTGAAGATTTTTACATCATAATTATATTAAAGTACACATGAAAAATTAGGTTTTAATGTATAAATAAATTTTAAAAGGCATTAAAAGAATTTTTATTTTTTATTTTCTGATGTCATATATATAGATATAATACATCATAT